CCAAAAAATCCTGTTCAAAAAAAAAAAAAAAAAAAAAAAAAAAAAAAAAAAAAGAATTTCACTTGAGGTGGGGTGGTGGTGGTGCAGGCCTTTAATTCCAGCAGAAGCAGGTGGGTCTCTGAGTTTGAGGCCACCCTGGTCTACAGGGGGAGTTCTAGGACAGCCAGGGCTGCACAGAGAAACCCTGTCTCAACAAAAACAAAAACAATTTCACTTGAACATCACTGTCTTGCTTTACCGTCACGTGAGCTGTTTCCTTTCCGTAGGGCCATGTGGTCATCTATCTCAGACATCAATGCGCATCTCCTGTTTTGAAGACATCACCTGTCTGGTCCCTGTTAAATACATGAGGAATGAACACATATGTGGTAAGGATAATGTGGTTATCACATAAAGCCAGAAGGGCAAAGGAGAAGTTTTTCCAAATGGGCATATCCACAGGCCATGACGAATTCCGTCTCGGATATGGTGCGAAGCCCAGGAAATGAATAACATCCACGGGAGGAAGCACCATGTGTCTCTGAGCCTGAGCAGGTGCATGGCGAGCTTCACACTCACAACTGCGACAGGAATCACGGTGGAGCAGTGCAGAAAAGGTCTTCTCGGAAGGGTCAAAGCAGCCTGGGGGAAGAAGGGGCAGCTAGCATCATTTCCTTTGTACAGTCTCACTGCTGCTTCCTAATATTTTAACATGTCCAGCGTCAACTGGAAATACAAGAAAAACTAACACTGCACATGCACCAGACACACGGTTTCCAGGTCAATGCTTCTGTTTTCACTCTATGGTATTCTACAGTAAAATAAGTTTTCAACTTAAAAATATATATGACATGATAAAAGCAGAACCACCATATCCTTTGCATCAACAATAAAATGGAGGACGTGGGCATATAGAATTGGGGCTGCAGAGATGGTTCAGAAGCTAAGAGCACTGGTTGGTCATCCAGAGGGCCTGAGTTCAATTCCCAGCAACCACATGGCAGTTTATAACCATCTATAATGAGATCTGATGCTCTTTTCAGGTACACAGGCAGACATGCAGATAGAACACTGTGTCTATAATAAATAAATAGATTTTACTATTGTATTAATTTTACAAGTTTCCCAGTATTTGCTTAAAAAGTTACAAACATAATTTATATACTAAGTATGGGATTTGAACAACTGGGGTTTAAATAATATTTAAAACTAAAAACATTTCTATTTATTTTGTACATTTACATTTACTTGCTGAGCCATTTTATCAGCCATATTTTAAAGTTGTTTTCTTCCTGAGATTTTTTTCCTTTTTTTAAATTTAAATTAGAAACAAGCTTGTTTTACATGTCAATTCCAGTTCCCTCTCCCTCCCCTCCTCCCCTGCCCCCCACTCCATCCTCCTATCCCATCCCCTCTGCTCCCAGGGAGGGTGAGGCCTTACATGGGGGAATCTTCAAAGTCTGTCATATCATTTCGAGCAGGGCCTAGGCCCTCAGGTTCTTGAGATTTTTAAAAATTTCATTTATGTGTTTCTATCTGTGTGTAGGTATGTGTATAAGATGTAGTTGACCTTGAGGCCAATGTTTCCATTGGAGTTGGAGTTACAGGCAGTTGTGAGCAGCCACATGGGGGCTCGAAGCTGTACCAGGTCTTTGGAAAGGGCAACCAGTGCTCTTGACTGCTGAGCCATCTCTCCAGCCCTATTTTAAAGTTTCTAATTGACAAACAATATTTGCACATGTTTAAGAAGTACAATGGTGGGGTGGCGCATGCCTTTAATACCAGCTGTTGGGAAGCAGAGGCAGGCAGAACTCTGTGAGTTCGAGGCCAGCCTGTTCTACAGATCAAGTTTCAGGACAGTCAGAGCTGTTACACAGAGAAACCCTATCTCAAACAAAACAAAACAAAACAAAACAAAACAAAACAAAACACAAACAAAAAAGTACAGAGTGACATTTCCTACATGTATATAATGTGTGATGGAATATCTATGACTTCAATAGTTATAATTTTTTGTGTTGAAAATACAATTCTTCTTCACCAGCTATTCTGAAAGAGATACTATCTGTCAACTACAGTGCTATAGTCATTAGTAGTTTTTCCTCCTGTCCAGCCTCACCCCTGAACCTGTAACTCACCCTTGTTCCATCCCTTCCTATTCTACAGTTTGTGTTTTTAAAGAACTTCTTGAGACATCTAAGAGTATATACACACACACACCCCAAATAAAATATTCCTTCATTAATGCAGGGAAAAGGGAGAATATTTTTTATTATAACTGTTTCATAATAGCCATGAATAGTTCTGGAATTTACTACCAATACTGAAAGATAATTTTGAAGGGACCAGCTCCCCATTTTGGCAGCCATGACAGTAACACGTGCTCACCATGACCTTGTCCTAGTCACTAGAAGTCAGATGCCTGCCTCGTGGCAAGGAACCAATCAGAAGTTAGCTAGTGGTGCTATGCTTTACGGCTCTGGGTGTGCTTTACGGACAAGTGCACAGCAATGATGCGCAGAACATAGCAACCACCCTGGGAGGGCCTATGGGCCATAACAACCAATTGGCCAATCAACACAGGGCAAGCCCTCCAAGCCTGGAGGCACACCAATCCTGAGCCTGTGTGTACCCCTAGACACTTACGCTGCCCTACAAGATCTCTCTCTGCAGCCGGTTTGAGCTGTCTTTTCTAGCCATCCGCCATGGCGGGTGGGTGAAAGACCTGAGCTAACATGGGGGTAGCTGGGTAAACAACAATAAAGCCTCATGCAGTTTGCAGCAAGGTTTCGAATCCGCCTGGTGATTGGGGTGACCTCGGTCCTGGGCTGGGACCCCAGAAGCCTGAGTTTTCTAGGGGTCTCACAATTTTAAATTATTATTTTATTATTCTCCATGCTAAAGCAGAAGGAATAGAATTTTAACCTTGTGTTGCCTTCACTTACAGGAAAAAAAAGCTAAGATTTGTCTCAAACCAACAATCATTCCTCCTTCCCTACTGAGCTTCAGAGTCAGACAACCCTGATAAGTCCTTTGAGTGTGACAAGCAGGAAGAATGCTTTACCACCACTTGTCAAAGACTTACTGAACACCTGATAGGCGGGCCAGGTACTTCTCAGGCCAGTGGCTAACAAAGCAAAAGCCTTGCTTTGAATTATACTTCTTTTCCGCAATGTTTATAAATCATATGCATATAAAAAGGCAGGAAAATCTTTTGATATTTGGAAAGTATAGTATCTAGAGAATATTAATTGAGACATCATTTTAAGTTTAGTTTAAATTTGCAAGGCTGGTCATCACAAAACTAAACACTTGAATGCCTCGATGCAATTTTTAGTTTCTCTGCTACAGAGTACTGCAGCCAGTCTGTTGAAATTCAAATTGTTGGCCACAAGAGAGACTGGAGGAGTTAAACTACTGAAGTCATTCCCCTGGAATGAGAACAATTATAAGCCTAGTCAATTAATGGCACACATAGGAGGTGAACACTAACTGGAAGATATAAAGAGTAATAGGAGAGATATAAGTGTGGCCCTGAAGAGCAGACACTGACCCAGGAACACTAGCAATGAAAGCTGCTCATTTTCAGCAGTTTGCTAATGTATCCTCTGGGAACCAGAACCCAACTTCTCAGCACAGTTAATAGTTCTTATATCTACATGGGACTTCGTGACAGCAAATTTGATTAGCAACATGTCTGTGTGAATCCTTAGAAACTCAAAAAAGTTGAATGAATTAGCTTTCCTATTTTAAAGTAAGACATTCTCTCTAGTGTATGATGGCCAACAAAACCAGCATGGCAGTACTAAAGGCATTAAAGCCAGGAAAATTATATCGATGTCTTACCTTTAAAGATAGGGATCCAGCGAGAAAAAAATGGTCGATATCAATAACAGAGGCTAAAAACCCAGCTAAAAGGACTTCTCCAAAGTCAGCCTTCTTCTTGATTCCAATGACGACTGCCCATGACCACATGCCAATCACACCGTGTACTATGTTATCTGAGAGGGCACGAAGCCAATCATTTTGGTGAATTATGGAAAACCGGAGGAATCTATCAGCCACTAGGCAAAAGATCCCCAAACCAAGGCTGGAAATGAGAGATTCTGTGCTAAAACACTGTTGTAAAGCATGAGTCTTTTCAACTTTGGATGCCATCATAAACTGTGTCAGTACATAGTAAAAGCCATGGGGAACCAGCAGTCTATTCTTGTTGTCTTCATCCTGAGTATCCTAAAAGAGATTTTTTGTTTTCCTCTTGAGGATCATAAAAAAAAAAAAAAAAAAAAAAAAAAAAAAAAAAAAAAGAATGAAGATTATAGACTGTCACATAATATTTAAGCAAACAACGTCCATCATAATTATAAAACCAAACTGGAAAAATTAGCATCCCTTACATGGTACACAACATGGTATATGGTCAAAATAGTAAGTCAGTTTTACAGGAAAAGTTTATGTGGTACCAAGGAGAATTTCAGGAAGCCCATTGAATGTAATTTATTCCTGCCAGGCATTGAAATAGCTCTGTCAGAATGCATATGATATGACAGTGGGCATTCAATTTGTAATCCCAACAACTACTTTTATGTTTTTGAGAAAAAAAAAAAAAGTCCCCTTTTAGGCCTGGAGAGATGGCTCAGTGTAACAGCACTTCCTGCTCTTTCAGAGGACCTGGAATACCGACAATGAGCTACTCACAACAGCCTGTAATTCCTTTTCTGAGGGATCTGATGCCTTCAGCCTCTAATGCATACCTGCATGAACGTGGTGCATATGCATACATGTGGCACACACATATACAAACAAAATAAATACCTAAATCTTTTTTCTTAAACACATGTCTCTTCCCTTTGGGAAAACTGCTTGTCCCTATGGTCCCTAAACTCTAGAGCTGTTCAATTAGAGTTCCCTGCCTCTCATATAGTGATGAGGGTCACCCAAGCTAAGCCCACCAGCTTTCTTTTCCTAAGCAAACCCAATGTGGAATGGTCCCCTTGGAGGCCACAAGCTCCAAGACACAAAACTGCTGAGGACAAGAAAGTCCTAGAGAAGCCCTTAACCCCAGCATTCTGCAGGCAGGGACAGGTGGATGGATCCCTCTGAGTTCTGGGCCAGCCTGGTCTACACAGAGAGACTTTGTCTTAAAGAAAAATATCCCAAAGAGCCACAAAGACAAAAAGCTAATAATGAAGCCATCAAATCCTTGCCTTCAGTGTCCAAGATTTTCAAAGATTCCCTAGTTCCTACAGCTCACCCTTTACTTCTAAGAGCTACTCTGACATCTCCCTTAACAAACACCCCTTTTATCTATTGCTTAGAATAACAACAAACCCTGAAATTTTAGCTTATATACAAAAGCAAGCATAATTCTGCACTGAGTTTTAACCTGGCACAGGCTACTGAAATAATCTGTCAATTTGTCAAACGTTTCGATGCTATATCACATCTGGTTTTTAATTTTGTGTGGGTGTTTGCCTACATTGTGAATGTGTGCCACCTGCATGTAGTGCTTACAGAGGTCAGAAGAGGGTATGGGATCCCTTGGGACTGGAGTTACAAACGAGTGAGCTGCCATGTGGGTGCTGGGAATTGAACCTGGGTCCCCTACAAGAGCAGAAGCCAGTGCTCTTAACCAGCCTCCTGTACGGACAAATAGATTGTAGTTCTTCATGCTGTTTTCTATTTTTCTGTATGCTTGGCATTTTCACTTAGAAAGAGAGGAGAAAGAAAAGGACAAAAAGTTAGGCAGTGAAAGATTATAATTTCCTCAAAGAGAAAAAGCATTTGTAGCATGAATAGTAAAACCCAGAGACAGATATTGGGGTTCAAGCTGAAGATCAGAGAAGCAAAGCAGCCATCCAGTAGCTCTTACCTCTACCAAGGCTGAAATGGAGATCCTGTCTTCCCTGTGACTGGAAACTAAATCTCTCATGAGACCCTTTGCTTCTTCCTTATATACCTCTCTAGTGCTGGGATTAAAGGTATGATCTCTGTTACTCTTTTAGACTGATTCATTCTCTTGTTGCCCTGGATGGCCTTGAACTTAGAGAGATCCATCTGCCTCTGCCTTCTGAGTCCTGGGATTAAAGGTGTGGCCACCATTGCCCAGCTTCTATGGCTAATTAGTGTGGCTGGCTTTGCATTCTGATCCCCAGGCAAGCTTTATTAAATCATAAACAATATATCATCACAATCCTTCCAGTTTCTTTTTCTTTTCTTCCCTCCCTCCCTCCCTCCCTCCCTCTGCATGAGTTGCAAGGCTGAGTGTGGTAGTGAATGCCTGTAATCCCAGCACTTAGGAGGTAGAGGCAAGTGGATCTTTGTGAGTTCAAGGCCAGCCTTAACTTCACAGAAGATGGCTTAAATTCCAGCACTCGGGAGGCCAAAGCAGGTGAATCTCTGTGTTAGAGGCCAGCCTGGTCTACACAGTTCAAGGCTAGCCAAGGCTACATAGTAAGACTCTGTCCAAAAAAAGAAGAAGAGGAGGAGGAGGAGGAGGAGGAGGAGGAGGAGGAGGAGGAGGAGGAGGAAGATCTATCATATTATCCTTAATATGAAAACACTTCAGATTGGTAGCATGGTTCAGTGAGTAAACGTATTTGTTGTACAAGCCTGGAGACCCAAGTTCCACCACTATTATCCATGTAACAAAGTGGAAAGCTATTTTGTTATACTACAAATAATATTTATATCACACAACGTTTTATTAATGTTAATTGGTATGTATTCCAAAAGGGATTGAACCCAGGTCGTTAGGTCGGCAACACTCTCCTACCAAGCTACATACCAGCCCTCAGCTGATAAGCTAAACATTCAGAGGTGTTATTTGGGATGACTTCTCTACCATAAGAGCCAATCATCTAATTTTTCTTCGACTTCAAGAAGCCATTTTTTATAATGGTGTTTCATTTCATCCTTATTATAGCAAATGTCAGCAACTATGGGGACTTCCCAGCAAGCAAAATGGTCTTCTCCCTTCCCATAATTTCACACATATTAGCTGGTCTTTTAAATTATATGAGGATTTTTTTTTTGCTACCAATCATACATTTCTGTACAAACAAATGAGACATTCCCAATGTAAATGTCATGTCCTTCTTCAGTTCCTCCATCTCCCTAACCTTGGGGGAAACGCACAAAACCAAGATCTTGGGGTAGGTTACAAGCCCAGAACTCAGGAGGTTGAAGCATAAGTTCGCTTGAGTTCAGGGATTCCAGACCAACATGAAGGACATCGTGAGCCCATGTCTCAAAAAACAAGCCACCAAACAAACTCATCGCAACAAAGAAACAAAAACATGCTCTGCCCCAAACTGCTTTACAAATAAGTTCTCCTCATGGAACTAGAGTTGCTGTAAAAGTTAACACATTTAAATTCTTAAGTGCTAAAATACCAAAAGCAGATGCCAAATCCAATACTGGTAATTAATAAGGGAAATGAAAACAAATCTTGTTCACTTCACCATGACTCTAAGGCCATCCCATCTCTCTCTGCACGTAAAATATTTAGCGCTTGTAACGACTACGAACAAAAATATACAATTATGCTTTTCAACATGTTTCTAATCTCAGCCAATTCCTTAAGTCATACTTTTCAGAGGTCCGTGTGATCTAATAAGTTTTAGAATGTCAAACGGGGACAGGAAGTCTTAGTGCTTGGAGGGAGGATTGGCTAACTCCGGCGTTTCAGTGGGCTGTCCTACTCAAGCAAAGGAGGCAGTGGGCTCTTCTGCCTGGACGCCCACCAGCTTCCTGCACCAGGCTGGGAAAAGCTCAGAGCCCAGGAAAGCAACACCCACGGGATCCGGAGGGCGAGAGAGGGAGGAGACGTAGGTAGGTGAGCCTGCCCACCCAGCCCGCAGCCCCGACCCTGCTCCGGCCCACCTTTGAATGCTGGGCTCTCCCGCCCCCCCTCGTCCCTCCCTGCCCGCCCGCCCGCCATAGCTCAGCCATACCCAGCTCGCTTCGCCTTCGGCGGGCGAGCCAACAGCGCTCCGCCCCTCGGCCGCACCATAGAGACGCAGGCGCCGGCCGGAGCGGCCGAGTTCTGGGAGTCCCTGCGGACGCCGGGATGCAGGCTCCTCTCTGAGCCGCTCCTGGCGCTCGCATGTTGATCTGGTTGGTGCCGTGAGTTCTGCACGTCTCCAATACCCCAGAGAGAAATGGAAAACGTTCTGTCGTTTTCTTGGCTTGACCGGCGTCGAGTCGCCCACCCAGATGCACCCAAGTGGAGGCGAGCAGCCGGGACTGAAAAATCACCTCACCTGGTGCAGGATGCGCAGTGGGGCTGGATCTCGAAGGCACAAAAGTTTCTAACTTCCTTCATTGGATGCCCCAGGGCTGGCGATGCAAGATCTCAGACCTGACACACGCAGTGCTCCACCGCCCCCTTGGGGATTTCTCAAGTCTTTGCTAGACAGCTGAGGCTGCTCTTAGGACAGCAGGGGTCATGGCAAGAACAATCAGGACTACTAACCTGTTGGAAGCAAAAGAGCAATGCAAACTACACTCAAATCTCCCTTCTGAAACTGTGACTATATATATACACTTTTACTGCCTTGCTGAGGCAGGTGCTATCTTAGCACAAGGAAACATCTGGGGTGAAACAGCCCAACAATGCTGAGGGACATTCTTTACCTCTTCTTACTTCCTCAAAACAAGTATCAGGATGGAAAATGAGGCCAGAAGTACTCATGACAGTTGGAATCTTCAATATCAAGCAAACTTCTCGGTCACTTCACATAACCTGAAAAATCATCAACTGAACTTTCATTTGTACTACTTTAGGATTAGGGAGATGGCCCTTATGGCAGTGTGGTTTGTCTATGTGCCATACAGTCTAGGCTTTATGGAAGCCCACTGGCTGAAGGCAATGATTCATACAACACATACTGGATATTTTTGTTGTGCTCTGGCTGCAGAATAGCTTCAGATTAACTATGGAGCTCGATTACTGGAGGGTATTGACAACACGGAAATACACTGGGCAGATACTGATAAATACTGTTAGGGAAATAAACAGGGTGATATATTTGATTTGGGAGAGGCTAACTTTGGTGAGGTAGTTTTGAGGACTGTAGACAGAAACTTGTGCTGAGACCAGAAAAGTGAAGGAGCGCAGAGAGCTATAAAAGGAGGGCATTTGTCCACTCAACTAATTAGCCTTATCACTCTTGGTCCATTATCACTCCTTCCCTTTCCTTTGTCTCTTGTTTCCTGCCTTTTGATGTTAAGAGCCCGAAAGATTAGGAGTTAGACTCCCTGGGAGGCCAATAGGGAAAGGGGCCATAGCTGAGTAATAACGGTGGCAAATTTCCAAGATGGCCAGCTTCTTCCCACCAGCAATCCCCTGCTGATGGACTGGCTCAAGTTCAAGGCCAGATGAGGATAAGAACAGCTAGGACCAATCTACCATCCTGTCTCCAAACTGACCAACCCTAAGTAGGGAGAACTCTTCAAAGGCTTCAGATCCCCAGTCCTAGAGAGACTAGATTTTCACTTTCTGAGTGACCCTTCCGCTTTACAGAGGGTTTTTTCCCCCTCTGGGAGTTTGCTGCATGTGTTTCCTCATCCCCAGTAAATGCTTTTCTTCAACTGCAGATTCTGTCTGTGATGGAGACTGCTCTGCTGCTCCCTGTTGAGCTTCAGATTTCCCATCTTTTAACAGAGAAAACAAACCTGATCCAGACCTCTAGACTGCATCAATAGATTGCAACAGGATTGCCTAGATTAGTTTTCCTTTTTGAAATAGTTTGTTTTGCTTTTTTAAAAGATAGTTCTGACAGAGGTGGGAGTGATCCCCGGTTTTAATTGGAGCCAGTTACCATACAGTAGGCTCAAAACCCCCTGGATATTTTTTAAGTTATCTCTTTTGAGATAATGTATCATTTCTCCCCTCCTTTCCCTCCCTCCAGGCCCTCTCATATACATCTCCTTGCTCTCTTTCAAATTCTTGGAAAGTCTAGGAGGCCTCAACCCTACATATAGAATTACAGGCAACTAAGGATGCTGAGAGCCAGAGAAATAAGTCTTCCCTGGGGAAGAGCACACCACCTGGTTACCCAAAACCAGTCAGCCCCGAAAACACACATACAAGTAACATTACAAAGACTGAGCAGGTTGTATTTACTTAGGGATATGTGTGTGTGTGTATATGTATATATACGTGTGTGCATGTAACAAGTTACTGGGTTGCTGCCCTCCAGATAGCTGAATGCCTGCCTCCTCACCACTGTAAGAGCAAGAGGAAATGGGGCCACCAGCTTAACTGAGAACTCGTCCTCTTTCAGGTTTGGCAGGCTCGCCCTTAATTGAGCCTTATCTTGTTAGTCCATTTCAATATATCCCAGCCAATCAGAGCCTGTTTGGTGACTATGAAAACTCCCCAGCACCTGCCTTTTGCTGGTCATTGCCCACTCTGTAATCTTGCTCCTGTTTTTCCTCAACAGGCTTGCCCTCAGCCCTCATGTGCCCTTGGATGGCAGGCAGCCTGTGGCCACTCAGAGTTTTCACTGTCAATCTTAACTGTTACTCTCCTTGCTTTGTTCCACTTACCTTTCATTGTCTGTGTACTTCATTCTTTAGAGTAGTGAGACAAAAAATGGGATGAGAAAGAAGAAAATCTGCTCATTAGTTCTCCAGGAGAGATTAAACAGCAAATGATCAAATGTGTAATTCTGCACATTAAAAAAGAAAGTTGGGAGTTAACATTATTCTACAAGATTAAAAATGGCAAAACACACAACTTTTCTTATACATTTGATGTAAAAAATGAAATAGTTCAAAATTTAAATAGTTATTTATTTTAAAAATGTATATACATACATATATATACACACACACACACACTAACATTTACAAGTTAGGTAAAATACAATCAAAGGTAAATCAGTTCTGTACATTCTACAGAAGTAATTTTGCAATTCCTTGGGTTACTAGCAATTTCATATTAGTAATTTGAAACATCCTTAAGATTTAGTATTGTAATAATTCCATTCTTCACTTTCTAGAGTTTGACAGGAGACAGTCAATATCCTGAAGGATTTCAGAAGTTCTTTTCAATGCTACTGATACACTCTCTTTATTAGTTACTTCTATTGAGGTTTCTGAAGATTCGGATGTACAGTCATCAGAACACTGTTCGTTTTTCTTGCTAGAAGTCCAGTGGAGTACACCACTGTTTTCCAGGAGCCCTGAGTTACTTAGTTAAGGAGCTCCCCTCACAATTTCCATTATATAATCTGATTTTCAGGTAATCCGAAACCTGGTTTCGGTATGAAAATATTTCTCAGTTGCAATGACTATCTACTGAATTGGTGATCCCATTGGGCCTTCAGAGTTTATGGAATCCATCCTTATACATAGGGAAACCAGTCATAGTGTATGGAAAGTGGGGAATTATATGAGTTTGGATAGAGGTTTAATGGCAAAGAAGGAGATGGAGGTTTAGTAGGAAAGAAAAGAAAATTTCAGTAACACTTCTTAACCTACTAACATAAAAAGGGAAAAACAGACAGATGATAGGGTTAGATAGGGAGTGCATTTTTTAATTAATAAAGATCTAGAGTAAAAGGCAATTTGCCTTCTCTTGCAGAACTAGTTTATTATTTGAGTAAGGTTGTATAACTATTTGCTCCCAATTGAAACAGTCGCTTCTAGTGAGAGGAGGGAGCTCACGAAACTCAGAAGTAGATCAAATACATAATGCACAGGAAGAATATGAACCTTACAAAGCTCAGGAAGCTTCTAAAAGTTATCAAATTCCTAAGGTCCCTTTCTGAGGCTGTCTCCACAGGAGCAGCTGTTGGTGAGAGGTAACTCTGACTAGGTGAACTACTTATAAGTTGTGCAGCAAACTCCAGGGATGCAGTTTTTATGAATTGTCGGCAATCCTGGGCTGTTAAGGAGGCTGCCTTTGGGTCATCCTGCTTCTGTAAATTCCATCTCACAACCACACTCCTGTTAAGTGATCCCAGTAAACTCAGTTCACTATGGTGGACTTGGGCAAAACTGTCTCTTTGGTCTGTTGTTGGTCACCTATACGGGGTGAATAAATGTCGAATCATATCTCCCCAGGAAAAGTCACACAATAGTAAGATTACAGAAAAATGAAAAAACAAATTTAGATGAATGAAAAGGGTTCATAATAAAAGTTACAGACATATTTTCAACAGCTATGATTTAGATAATTATATAAGAGAAAAAGTCTCCAAAAGAGATCTTAATCCTACTTCATAATTCCTTACCCAATTTAAACATAAAAGCATAAACATTAACCTAACATCTATAACAAGAAAATATCTGACTCAGCAAAACTCAGCAACATGCATGTATGGATTAACAGTCATAAAGTCAAGTTACAGTCATTATTAAGCCCAGATTGAAATGGAATACTTCTGTAAATAATACATTCTCTTAAAAGGATACAGTTAAATTTCTGTATTTTCTCAAGTTCAGAAGCAACAGACCTATGAAAGATAAAGGATGACACTGGAACATGAGTTCTTACCACATATGACAGAAAGGGACAGAGACAAGTATGAGGGATGACTATAAAACTCTAGTAGAGCCCCTTATGTGAATGTTCTATCTTGTCTTCCCCACCAAGTTGGAACACTATACAAATACTATAATGACTACCTCTGAAAGATGAGTGAGGACGTTGTCTAAAAACAGTGTTTTATTCAAGTTACTAAGAAGCTGAATCAATAAGCTAATGATGGCAGGTAGGAAAAATACTGAAATACAATTTATTGTGCAATTGCTTCTCTTCCTTCAAACTACAGTCTTTGGCAAGACAGAGGATGGTGTTCAGAGCTGCTCCTCACTGCTTTCACCGGCAGCTGCTATCACCAATTGCACTTTTACTTTCGGTTTTATTTTTGGAGACAAAGTCTCACTATGTTGCTCTTGGCTGGCTCAAACTCATCAAGATCTACTGGGTTCTGCCTCCAAGTGCTGGGATTAAAGGCATGCACCATCATGCATTACCACACCTGACTTCCTTCTTGTTTTTTTCAAGGCAGGGTTTCTCTGTGTAACAGACTTGGCTGTCTTGGAACTCACTCTGTAGTCCAGGCTGGCCTCAAACTCACAGAGATCCACTTGCTTCTGCCTCCCTAATGCAGAGATTAAAGGTGTGTGCCACCATGCCTCGCTTCCAGCTTCATTTCTTAGTATGTCAACAGTAATAACCCTCTTTCAGCTTTATGTAAACAAGGCATTTACTAAAAACAAAAACAAAACCAGCTATCACTTGAGCAGTGCTTAGTGATCAGTTTTATAATCCTATGCCATTTCCCTTCTTCCCAACGGCTTTATGCAACTTTCCTGCTCTGAGTTAGAGTTGAAGGATGAAGCATCTTCAAAGTTGGATCCTGAGATGGTGGGCATACTAAAATCACCTCTACTATCTCCATTTGATTTATTCTAACAGGTATTCAGCCAGACAAAGGATATAAATCAGGCTGTGTGTGAGCATTATCCTGCTATATTGCTAAGTCACCTTAAACTTCCTTTTAAAAAGGTTACTAGATTAGGCTATGCTATAGTTCAGTAGAGTATTTCCTTATTATAAGCCTTTATCTACTTATACCCAATAACCAATACCAATTATATTTCCCTACTATAAGCCTTTACCTACTGAGCCATCTTGCCAGCTCTTGTGTCTTAGTCACTGTACTACTGATGTGAAGAGATACCATGACAAAGGCAACTCCTATGAAAGTAAATATTCAACTAGGGGCTTGCTTAAAGCTTCAGAGGCTTAGTCTATTGTCATCATGGCAGGGAGCATAGCAGCCTGCAAGGCAGTGGAACAGTAGCTGAGTGTTATATCCTGATCCACAGAGAAAGGCTGGATCTGGTATGGGCTTTTGAAACCTCAAAGCCCATCCCCTAGTGACATACTTTCTCCAACAAGGCCACACCTCCTAATCCTTATAATCCTTTCAAATAATTCCATTCCCTGGTGACTAAGCATTCAAATATATGAGCCTATGGGGGCTGTTCTTATTTAGACCATCACGCCTTGATACTAATTTTTAAGTATTAACTGGCTCTTATTCACAGATTAATTTTACAAGAAATATAGATACCAATTTTCTTTGTGAACAGGTGATAGATGTTTGGGCACCTGTCTTGGACTAGTCTGGGTCAGTCTTCTGCACCATGATGTTACTGCTGTCACGTATCTAAAAAGAACACATTACAAACATTTGATAGGGAAATTCATTAATTTGTATAATTAATTTGTGCAATAACAAAAATGAACTAAAGTAAAAAAAAGACAAAAACACTTTGATTCTAAAATACTATGTAGCTAAGGAAACACAGAACTTCTAATTCTTATGACAAGTGTTAGAATTACACAGTGTGCTACCACACCTTGTTTTAGGATTTCTATTGACACCCCCCCCAACTCCCCTTTGCTGGGTCCTTGTCTATGCTGAGGAAATGCTCTATTACCTAGCTATACTCCCAGCCTTAAATTGTATACTTTCTATAAATACATAAGAAATGAAAAAAATCAGCAAGACAGTTTCAAAAAAAAAGGATAAGAAAAAATTTTAAGTGAGGCAGTAAAATTATCTAAATCATATATATGAGACACAGATGAGATAACCTTTTTACATCATTCATAAACAATAAAATAATTTTATTTATATTCATAATATTATAAAGAAAACATCTACCTCAAAACAAGAAAGGAATACTTGCAGTTCATTTAAAGCTCAAATTTAAATCTCTAAAACATTTGCCAAAGGTATTATCTTTTTGAGAGAAATTGTTTAAAATAGCAACTGAAAGTTGGAGCATTTAGACCAAAACAAGACCACCCAACAGAAAAATAAATTCAAGATGTTAAGTAAGCAGTTTTGTGAGTACTGACAGGTGAAGTTGCTGTAATGTCAAGATGACTACAAGTAGAGCCACTACAACAACAGTGAACTACATCAACAGAAAAGTTACATTCCTAAAAACTAAGTTCAAGCTTCCTCCCACTTAAGAATATCTATCAGCTAGTTCTACTGTTTTATTCACAGACATATATACAATTTCAGTCACTTACAGTCATTTGTAAACTACCTGTCTTTCAATTTCGTTAAGGAATTAGAAAAGCTGCTAACACAACTGGCCATACTCTTCACAGCCAGTCAGACATGTTGGAAACATTATGTTGAAAAATCACTTGGATGCTAATAAATGTTTAAAGCCAACTTGATATGTTTCACTATATTAAATTTCAGTGTAACTGAAAACTCTGAAATCTGGAAAAACTAAAAATGCACATAACATTTAAGTTACATTTACGCTCTATCAGTTGAAACATGAAAATAAAATTGCTCGCTGGGTGGTGGTGGCGCATGCCTTTAGTCCCAGCACTTGGGAGGCAGAGGCAGACGGATCTCTGTGAGTTCAAGACTAGCCTGGTCTACAAGAGCTAGTTCCAGGACAGTCTCCAAAGCCACAGAGAAACCCTGTCTTGAAAAACAAAAACAAAAAACAAACAAACAAACAAAAAAACAACAAAAAAGAGAAAGGAAATAAAATTGCTCTTTTGTACCTGTCATATGCTCCAGGACGCTCAGTTTGAATTAACTGATCCTGTCCATCAGGAAACGTTAATCTGCACCAACCCAAGTTGAGACCTTCATTTACCTGAAGAAGCAAAAGGAAGAGGCAAGTTTTATCACTCTAAAACTAAAAACTAAAATATTAGCAACCTCTTTAAAAAAAATAAAGGCGTGGATGAATCATCACAAATTTAGTTTGAAAGACTGTACTTGAATAGGTTGTGAGTATGTATAAGTCATCATTCAACAATAATTATCAGAGAATACAAATGCCAATCCGTTTTTTTCCCCCCTTTGGTTTTTCGAGACAGGGTTTCTCTGTTTAGCTTTGGAGCCTGTCTTGCAACTTGACCTTACTGTAATGTGCTTTATATACATAGAATGACTATTTGTCATACTTTTCTGATTTTTGCTAGGAAATTCACTGAGATCAATAAAGCCTCTTGACAGGTCTCTGGCACCCAAATGGTGGCTCACAATTGCCCATGACTCTAATTCAATGAACTCAGATGCCCTCTTTTGATCCTAAGAGCTCCTGTGTGCACATGGTGCACATAAAATTACACATATATACATATCAGAGAACCCCAAAACATGATAATTTGAGATACAGTAGCACTGTTTTCTGTCGATAAGTAACCAATCAGGATACATTTCACACTGCAGATATCGGATATTTGAAAACACCCAGAAGATAGGATCTTGAATCATAAAGAAACGATAAATACTTGAGATAGATAATAATAATATATATTACACACATATAATAATATATATTACACACAAGATCAGAATGATATCTCATATGTGACAATTCTCAACCTGTGGGTCACAATCCCTACAGGGGTCACATATCAGAAATTCTTCATATCAAATATTTACATTAAAATCCATAACAGTAGCAAAATTATACAGTTATGAAGAAGCAACAAAAGTATACATGGTTGGGGGTCACCACAACACGAGGAACTGTATTAAAGGGTCATAGTATTAGGAAAATTGACAACCGCTGGTCTTAGGCATACTCACTTGTCTTTTTTCAGCTGAGGAGCTGAAATTCCAATTCAGCGTTAGAGTGACGCCATCTAAAAAGACAGCGTGAACTTTGTCATCAGAGTAGGCAAGAAATCTCCCCACACTGGGTATGAGTGATTCCTTCAGAAGTACAGGCAAATTATTGTTAACATTTACTCCAGATACCTAAAAACAAGTAAAAAAGATAGCACAAGGCAAAGCCCTCTATGAAAAAGATTTAAATAAATGAACTTTGAAGCAACTCAAGATTTTTATTGAAAAGTTGACTGCTACAGAACCTTTGTCCATATTTTAACTCTTCAAGAGTTACACATCCAAAACTGTCTACCTAATAAGATTAAGTTCTAACATTTCTGTAAGCTACCATCCTGCTATAACCTTTACATAAGCAAAAACTGAATTATAACAGCATACAAGTTTACAATTAAATGAGTATGGATCCCCAAATTAATGTCTAAGAATTATTTCCTCTAAGCCAGGATTAATAAATTTACTTTTACATTTATAAAATTAAAATATGATACTATCATAGTTTGTATTGACAGTGCTTTTACATAACTCAAATTCAATCAATTCCCATCTCTCCTCCTCCATTAAAACAAACAAACGAACAACTGGACAGGGTAGCTCACACATAATTGTAATTTCAGTACTTGGCAGGCTGAGGCAGGAGGACCTCAAGTTTGAAGCCAGCCTGGGATATGTAGTAAGCTCAAGGGCTAGCCAGGTCTACATAGCAAGATTCTGCATCAAAAGGCCAAAGAAAAATAAAAATGGGCTAGTATAGCTTTGTGACAAAGAGTGAGTGATTGGCATGCTCTGAGCCGAGGCTTGAATCCCAACAAGGTGGGGGTGAGGATTACATACAATAAGTATATATGACACTAAAAGTAAAACATAGGGGCAAAGGGTGTGCCTACGTGATAAAGAATATCTGTACAGTATATACAGTATGCCTTGAGCTTAAAAAAAGAAAAGACTGGTTTTCCAGTCTATGAGGTAGGTATCTTTCTCTCTTTTAAGTATTCTGAGACAGGGTTTGTGCTGGCTGGTTTTATGACAACTTGACACAAGGTAGAGATTAGAGGGGCTCTCAATTGAAAAACTGTCTTCATAAGATCTTCATTTTCGGGGCTGGAGAGATGGCTCAGAGGTTAAGAGCACTGACTGACTGCTCTTCCAGAGGACCTGGGTTCAATTCCTAGCACCCACATGGCAGTTCACAACTGTCTGTAACTCCAAGGTCTGACACCCTCACACAGACATACATGCAGGCAAAACACCAATGCAAATAAAATAAAAATTAATTTAAAAAAATTTTCATTTTCTTAATTAGTGATTGATGGGGGAGAGCGCAGCCCATTTGGGTGTTGCCACCCCTGAGCAGGTGGTCCTGGGTTCTATAAGAAAGCAGACTGAGCAAGCTATGAGGAGCAAGCCAGTAAAGCAGGACCCCTCCATGGGCTCTGCATCAGCTCCTGCCTCCAGGATCCTGCCCTGCTGGAGTTCCTGCCCTCACTGCTTTTGATGATGAACTGCTATATGGAACTGTGAGGGAGATAAACTTACTCCTCAAGTTGCTTTTGGTCATGGCTTTCATCACAGCAATAGAAACCCTAAGTCAGGGTTTCTCTGCATACACCTGGCTGTTCTGGAACTTGCTCTGTAGACCATGCTAGCCTTAAACTCAGAGATCCACCTTCCTCTGCCTTCCAGACCCCCAGTGATAGGCTTAATGCTGTGTACTACTACACCTGGCTCAAGGTAGATATTCTCTTGAATAAACAAATTTGAATGTTACTAAGAATTTCTCACATGATTTAGATGAAAGTAGTTTGAATGTACAAGTATGAATCCAAACAACTAACAGTCTTGCTTTCAGCATACCATTTTCCAGCAGCAGACATGATAGTTGTGGCTTAGTGAAAGCCTTGTCTTGGCACAATGCTGAAGAATTCTGTGAACATAAAAAACATTTGATAAGTGTTTGCAAATAATGACATTTTCTCTATTTTCAAACACCTGGTTCTGTAAGGCAATGTTTTTCCAACTGAGTTGACTGTGGCAACTCACTTTCCCAGAAAGTGTTAAGTTCCTAGATGGAGCGACCATGTTCTCCCTCTTCTCTATCTGGGCTAGCTAAGGAACTCCATGGATAATTTTCAGGTGCTCCTTTAAAACTGTTCAATTAGTTATTTGTAGTGTATGTCTGTGCACTCATGTGTGCAAGTGAGCAGTCACATGTGCCATGGCATGTGTGCAAAGGGCAGAGGACAACTTTGTGGATTTGGTTCTCTCTTGTAACGATAAGTCTTTCTGCCAAGGTGCCCGAGCCCCACCGCCACATGGGTGCCCGAAATAACACAGAGTCTTATAGTAGTAATTACAATGCTGCTGGCCAATGACTAGGATTTCTTATCTGCTATCTATATCTTAAGTATCAACCATAATTATTAATCTATATATTTTATAAAGACTTATCTGATTGAGGACACTGGTGGCATGCGTCCTCTCTTGTCGAGCTCACATTGTGGCTCCCAGAGAAGAGAGGAGGAGGAAGAGGATGAGAGTGATTTCCTGCTTGTTCCTGCTTATATTCTTAGTAGGCCTGCTATCTCACTTCCTGCCTGGATCACAAGATTTTTTTTTACTACATTTCCTAGAATCCCCCTCGATTCTTAGTCCCACCTATCTTGCTTCCCTATTGCCAACAGTACTTTATTTACCAATCAATAAGACAAACATATGCACACAAGGACTACTCCCATCACTCTCCTACTTTATGTGGCTTCAATAGGTAAAGCTCAGGCTACTGGGCTTGCACAGCAAGCACCTTCCTTGCTGAGCCTTCTTGCTAAAGAGGTGACAGAGTCATATGCCCAAGAGGTTTAGCATAGTCTAAAGATGGCAAGAAAAGCAGTTAACTATGTGTAGGATTTCAAATAATAATTTCCGAGCCTGTTAATAATCTGTTTTGGAAATTGTTTACAGATAACTTCATAAAAACAAATTAATTCAACATTGTGTTTCATTTATTTGGGTGCTGTAGATTAATCAAAGAATTTTAAAATAGTGAAATAAAGAACTAACCCACACTTTTATCTTTAGTACATTCTCCTAAAACTTTATTACTGTGAAAACAAGAAAGTGGGAAAATTCCAAATGTTCCCTCAAACCCCCAACTTCATTAAAGCAACCATAAGGATGCTACACTTGTCCAGAGAAATGGCACTGTAGTCCTTCTCAGGACCTGCTCACTTCCTGTTTATCCAGACTTAACTTTCAAAGCCAGAAATACTCTTGTAATGACATGGATTACTTTTTAAATTACGAGACCAGAAAACTAGACAGATTTGTAGCAAAGACACTTATTTCCATTCCACCCACTGAGTCCTAACCTTAAGCAGAAGAAACACATCAAGGCATTCAGAAGCATGACTTTTCTGTTCAGTTGAACGTCATGAACTCACCTTGTTGCCTGCTTAATCAGAGAACGTACAGACAAGAGGCTTCCAGGTCTGTCTGGAGGGAGGTTATTTACGGAATAAGTTTTCTCTTCTCTCTGAAAGTTTAAAACAAACAAATCACAAATAATAAATCTGGCCCTTATTACTTAATTATTTTTTTCCTTGAAATATACATGTGTGTGTGTCCCTTACCACTTAACTATTTTTTTTCTTGAAGTATGTATGAATGAATGTATGTATGTATATGTGTGTGTGTGTGTGTGTGTGTGTGTGTGTGTGTAGGTATGTCTGTAGTACATGCACACATCAACAAAGCAAGCAATTATTTTAATATTCTAAAGCCCATAAAACCTACATATTTTAGTGGTATTTTTATGATGCCTTTCTGGTGGAGGAGAGATGCATGCTACTGTGTCCACTTTTTATGTGGGTCCTGGGGATCTCAACTCAGGTCCTCATGCTTGTGTGGCAAACATTTTACCCACAGAACTATCTACCTACCCCCAATACATGCTTTTTACTTTGCAAATATTAATTAAAAGTAGTATAATGATTCAAAGGTAATGCTCTGGGCTTTAGCTTTTTTAATCTACAAATTCTATGACAGAAGAAATTTAGCTTCCGATATAAACAAACTGTTTAGGGTGTTAATGGTAACAGTGGGTGTGACTATAGTAAAAATAAAGTGACTGGGGGCTGGAGCGATGACTCAGAGGTTAAGAGCATTGACTGCTCTTCCATAGGTCCTGAGTTAAATTCCCAGCAACCACATGGTGGCTCACAACTATCCGTTATGAGATCTGGTGCCCTCTTCTGGTATGCAGATATACATGGAAGCAGAATGTTGTATACATAATAAATAAACAAAATCTTAAAATAAAAAAAAAAAAGGTGACTGATAATTCACCAGGTGTCAATGCTGAGAGTAAGATTATATTAATTCCATGGTGAGGAGTGGGAAGTAATGTCACATAAAACATCAAATTTCATATATATATATATATATATATATATATATATATATATATAACTTTAGAAAGAACTTTTAATCAGAACTTTTGAATTTTCATAGTTAGCTTACCTTTTCTGATTCTTCTTGACTTGAATAATATGTAAAATAGCTACCAAAATAAGTTCCTTCTGACTTGAAAATGGATCCATCTCCAGGATAAATCTCTATCGAGTTTACATTTTTATGGGTAAGCCTAAAGTAGAGAAATAATCATTTTTTTAAAATCAAGACTCATGTTTCTATGAAAGCAATCATTAAAACAACAAAATCCCAAGCAACAACCAAAAACAGAGAATAGGTAATTCTGAATGAAAGAGAAACAGAACATACAAAAGTGCCTTATATGTATATTTCAACAACTAAGCTCAGAGCTTCTAGAATTCAGAGAATCCTGTCTTCATATCCCCAATGCCAACCATAGGGACTAATACATAAAGAGTCATCAAAGCAAAGTCTATGCATAGCAGTTGAATACCACACTTCTAGGTTCTGAAAGTAAGACCATTCCTTAACAAAAATAATTGGTGTAATTAGTACCTGATGGCTAAAATTAACTATCTGTGTTAGATATATTACATAAGGAGCATCCAGGTATAATCAAAGCATCCGGTACATACAGCATGAAAATTACTTTTATTAGAATAGATATATCTTTTATGTTTCTGGGACCATCAAAATGGCTCAGCAGGTAAAGGCACTTGCTGCCAAGCCTGATGCCCTGAGTTGAATCCCTAGGACCCACATGGAGGAAGGAGAGAAGTAACACTGGCAGGTTGTCCTCTGACTTCTACATGCTATTGCACACACACATGTTGCCATTCCCAGTAAAAAAAAATAAGTGCAATTTAAAACTTATGCTGTCAGAAGTGGGTGGGTCTTTATACAGGAAAGGGAAAGTCTTCTAGCAACCAAAAAACATCAGGTATGCTTTTCTAGTATTATTCATGGACGTAAAGATACATCTAGCCAACACTGTATTTCAGTAACTAGACAGTTACTCTATGGTGGGGAAGGGAGAATTCAGTGGAGTAGTATAGATGCAGAGCAGCCACGAAAGGAATGATGTCCTGTGACTGAATTGGCCTTAGGCTGATTCCATGCTCACCAGGGAACACAACTAGACCTTCTAATACCCAGAAGGATATCCTAAGTCCCTGCTACAAACATCCATTTACCAGCAAGGTTGACTTTAAATGGCATTGGAGCTGCCATATAAGTCTTGTAAACATGTTTAGTTCAAGTCATAAAACCTCTGTGTGAACTAATAAAATTAGTTTCGTGACCTGTAAAAGTAAAGAGAAAATACAGGAGCCCAGTTGACAAAACTGTGTCTTTCTAAGAATTGGTTTGCAAGTATAGTCTCATTCCCACTTTGAGTTAAGAAACAAGCAAACAAAACTCTCAGTGCAACACAGGAGCCTGGCCTGTATGTAATACCCTTACTCCACACACAGGAACCTGACCTGTATGTACCACCCTTACTCCATACCAGAGGATCCTGACTTGTATGTACACCCTACACCGTACCACAGGAGCCTGACCTGAATGTAATACCTTTACTCCACACCACCTTCACAAGCTCAGGATAGGAATACTCTTCTTCATCAGACTGTCTTTGTAACAGTGAATCACAGAAGTTCCACCTGTGAAAGATAAAGTATGAGTATTAATTTTGGTTGTTCAAAATAATTGCTATTAAAAGTCAACAAAACAGCTGGGCGTTGGTGACACACGCCTTTAATCCCAGCACTTGGGAGGCAGAGGCAGGTCGATCTCTGTGAGTTCAAGGCCAGCCTGGTCTCCAGACTGAATGCCAGGATAGGCTCTGAAGCTACACAGAGAAACCCTGTCTCGAAAAACAAAAAAAACAAAAACAAAAACAAAAAACAAACAAAAAGAAAGTCAACAAAACAGAGCCACCATAATGCTTATTTCTTGCCTAAGTAAATGTGTGTGTGTGTGTGTGTGTGTGTGTGTGTGTGTGTGTATGTATGTATGCATTAGAGAAATTTAAAAGCAAGTCTTACTTTGCCATATATCTTTTTAGTAATTCTCAGTAATCTCATTAATGGATCTCAGTATGATGTAAATTTAAATTTTTATTAATCTTTAAAATCTACCCTGAATTCAAACTACAAATTTTTACTGAAATATCTATGGTAGGCCAGGCATAATGTTCTACGCACTGAGAATTTAATGTCCCCAAAGCAGGTGTGTTTTCTGTCCTCAGTGGAGACTTCCTATCTGGCAGTGTGGTAAAATCACCAAGTCTAGAGAGAGGGGAGGCAGTGAGTGCTATGGGCATGAATAAGGACCTAGCTTATCGACAGACTTTGAGAAACCACTCCAAGGCAGTAAGGCTTGAGCTGAGACAAGGAAAAGAGGTGGTGGGGAGGAGGGCAAAGTTCCTGTTGGAGCAAAGAGCAAGAGCAGGAGCAGTAGGGAAAGAGCCCGAGTGAGCACTCAAGTAGTTCAGCAAGCACAGGGAAATCAAGGACAAGAATGATGGCAGAGGTGAGGACTACAGAGAAGGAAGGGACCATGAAAAACCTGCTGAGCCATGTTAAGGAAATGGATTTCACCTAAAGCCAGTCAAAGAAACAATTTAGAAGCATAAAACCTCTTCTGTCACATATTTATAATCCTGGAATTTCCAGTTTTAAGTAGATAATTGTGGCAAGGCCAAGAGCTATTCCTGTATTTTGTTTTAAGTAAAAATGTATACTCAGAGAAAACCTAGGATCAAATTTCAATTCTACAAGTGCTTCTTTATCATTTCTGGATCTTAAGCTCCTCTATGAAAGGATCATAGCAATTCTTGTAATAGAGTCACTACACCAAATGCACAACTAGAACAGTGTCTTGTAAGTACTTTGTAAATGTTAATTTACAAAAAAAGATTGACTGGAATACTTATATAAAGTTCATGTTGCAAATGTTTAACTATTATTCATCTTTGAATGGAAGTTAAGTTTTGACCTAGCCATGAAGGTGTCCATATACTGAACCCTTTTGAAAAAGGACATACTTTAGTCAGTCAGCTAAAAAATAGGTAGCCTTTGGGGCTGACAGCAACAAAAGAAGCCATCATCAAAACTGTTGGGTCCATGATCTATCCTGTGGTGTCATGGGCAGGTCCATGGTCTATCCTGTAGGTCATAGGCAGGTAGGACCATGGTCTATCCTGTGGGTCATGGGCAGGTCCATGGTCTATCCTGTGGGTCATGGGCAGGTCCATGGTCTATCCTGTAGGTCATAGGCAGGTCCATGGTCTATCCTGTGGGTCATGGGCAGGCCCATGCTCTAGCCTGTGGGGTCATGTACTCTAGCAACCAGCCAGAGGTTTCCCTATAGGCTTTCTCCCAAAGAGCTTTGAGCAGGCTCCTGCTCTTCTACACTTTGGCTTAGAGGCCAGCCTGGTCTATAGAGTTCTAAGGCCAGCCAAGGTGACAGAGAGACCTTGTCTCAAAAAACCAAAACCAACCAAACAACCCACCAGAATAGTATCAGATCATCTAGAATGTTATGCTCAGGTAAAGACGGTTCTCCCCAGATCTTTCTGAGCAACAAGCCACTCTTGCTTTACCTGTGCATGTGTGGAGCAGGGCAGCTGAGTAACAAGGCCCTGGGAAGGACGGAAACCTCCTTTCCACTTTCTTCTGGAGTGTCAGAAGTTACAATTCCACTTGCAGGGAAATCTGCATCAATTTCAGACACAATGCTAACTTGGTTGTAAAAACGAAGTGCTAAAGACAAAGGGTATTTCCACTGCTCTGGACAGGAGGCAATAGACCAACACTGCTTCACCCATGTGTACACACATCTGTGCTTTGTACTTGGGGAAGGCAGCTCCTCCCTCCCCTCAGCTCCATGCACACAACATATGTTTGCTGAAGCTTCTTTAGATTTCAAGATCTGGTAACGAAGTTCGTCTTCTTTATTCTTTAATCTTTGTCCTGATAAACTTCCACATGTGCAGATTTTGCTGGTCTTTCCAACTAGTTTATCTTTCGGGACTCGATTATTTGTTTCGGATAGTATTACAGATGAATCTGGCTTTTGGCTTACTTTACACAAAAAATGTACTGTAAATTCACGCTGAGATCTGGGCAGGCAAAGGTATGCATGTCCATCTAGGGATGTTATCTTCACAGTGCCACTCTCTGAATATGTGATGCTGTCATATCTATCAAGACTAGGCCATTTTACTTCTGAGAAATCAATGAAGATATGCTGAATTGAGAGAGGAAAAATAAAAACCATGATATTTTCTGTCAATGACCATTCTTTTCATAGTTTTAATATTAAAAGTATTTTGTAAGAAAGAATTTATATACTTGTGTTTTTACTATCTAGGAAATAAAAACTGGAGTTAATATATGGGTTTTCAGACAATACTGATGGTAATAATATTTCTCTTAGAAACACACACACACACACACACAGTGAGAGAGAGTGAGAGACAGGAAGAAAGAGGTATATACCATCTGATCAGTGCTAAACTTACTTTGAATTAGGAAGAGTTGGATTTACAGACCACTCACCCCAAAACTCTAATCTGAAAAAGCACAGACATGAAGGAGATGAAGGAGAACCTGGACTGTGATATGCTGTACACAAGCAATTGAAGCTTACATGGTATGGAACTAGTGAAGAAGTCATTGAGAAAACAACACAGATAACACAAAAACAAATTCAGTATTTAAAAATGTCACATGAGCTAGAAGAAAGATGAGAATTATTATTTTTAAGTGGGAAGTTTTATTGGGGGAAGGGAAGGGACTGGAGAAAAGGAAGGGAGATAGACACAGACAGACAGACAGACAGACAGACAGATAGACAGACACAGACATACACACAGGGGGGTGGGGTGTCGGGGAGGGGACTGACAGGAAAAGTCTTGTCTGCCCTTCAGAGGAACAACAGGAGAGACAGAATTATTTTTTTTAAAGTGGTATTGGAATTAGCAGACAGCATTAGGGAAATGCAGTATTATCAGATGAACCAAAAAGTAACATGAAATATCTGTCCTAGAAGGTGCCCAGGACAACACTGGCTAAAGTAAATTCCAGATGGCTTTAAAAATAATTTAAAACAATTCAAACACTCAAAGGGAAAGTGACCCTACCAAACAGCAGACTCAAAACAGTTAACAGTCTCTGCTTTTCATACAAAAAAAAAAAATCAGCAGTACTGTACATAACAATATTTTAAAGATCAACTACTGTATATAGTTCAACATTTCAACTTCCATCTTTATTAAACCTTCATTTTACTAAAACTGTTGTCAAGAAACCTCTGTACAAAGCCACCCATATCAGAATACTCATGTTAGGAGAAGTGTTTTGTGCAAGGAGAAACAGTTAGGAAAGCCCACTGCCCTGTGACCACACTGCAGCATTGGAGCAAATAACACTGGGAAAAAAGCCCATGGAGTAAGTTACAGTTTACAACACTTTACAGCTCCTCTGCCTGCTAAGGTTTGCATATGAGGTGTCCTTCACAAAGGTGCAGGTGTTAAGTGGGTGCGAACTACAGGAGGAGGGGGACTTGCTGAGAGGTGACTGGACCATGAAGACACTAACTTCCTCAGAGGATTAATCCACTCATGAGTTCACAGATGAATGGGCTACGCTGGAGGAAGGAGATCTCTCACTCCCTATGCTTCCTGGTTGCTAGGATTTGTTTCCACCTACATTTCCCGCCATAGTGTTCTGCTTCAATGTAAGCCAAAAGGGATAGGGTCACATGACCGTGAACTATGATCTCTTTTCGGTTGTTCACCTTAGGTATTTTGTTGTAGTAATGTACACAGATATAAGACTACTAACACAGCTACAGCACAGTATGAACTTACTCAGTAAGGAGGCAAGAGAGCACCGGAAAGTAGTAGCAAGCAATTAACAGGAGCAGCTGGGCTGAGGGTGTGGCTCAGTGGTGAAGTGCCTGGTTACTAAGTGTGAAGTTCTGGTACTACTACCAAGGCTCATTTAGACTAGGCTCAAGTCCTAACTTTCCCACTTTGAAAAATTTCACAGATAAATCAGGTAAACTCTTTGAAACATAGTTTTCTGTCTGTATAAGAGCTGGTAACTCAGGAAATATTAGCAGATACCCACACCTCACTGGTACTACTGAAGTTCTGGTTTGTTGGAGACAGGACCTAACTACATTGCCTACGTTGGTCTCAAATTTAGGATGTCAAGTGATCCTCTTGCCTCAGCCTTTAAATATTTTTAAGATTGGCTGCTAGATGAAATAAATCCTTTTCTTCCCAAGTTGCTTTTGGTCAATGTTTTATCAAAGCAAACTAAGCTCATATCCTATTACACATCGACAGACACACAGTTCACTAAAATGTGTTTATGGAATTTCTTAATATTGAGACATATGAGAATAAAAAAATGATGATTTGAAATGCTATAACCCTTGGCTACAAGGAAAATGCTAAGGAGTTGAAATATGTGACTTCTATGTTCCTTAGACTGGTGAAACACAAAGGCCTGTGCATTCTGTAGCATGTGCCTATTTCCAAGTGCTAAACCAACTGTTTACAATCAGCCTGTACTCAAACATTACTTATAAAAATGTGGCTTTAAAACATACCTTTTTTCTTTCAGGAGGTATGAGGCTTTCAGATAAAAAAGGGCATGTAGCTGAAGAGTTTCGAAAATCGAGGGCTCGCTGTACTTGTTCCTAGAAAAAGAAATGTAAAATTTCTTTTAAATGAAAATCAGTTTAGAATAAGAAAAGTCCAGAATCCTAGTTTATACCCTTCATAGCAGCTTCAGCAACTTCTTTGTATTAAAAAGAGTATGTTGCGATATTACTTACTCGGTAGGTGCTAATGACAAAGTGTGTCCGTTGACGAATCCTCTCTGGTTGTTGTAAGGGATGTGTTGAAAGATGAGGTGCCCTTTCAAATAGGAATTCAGAGCCACAGGGCGAGAGCTGCAGTGTGGAGCCATCGGCATACTGCACCTGCACCGAGTCATCTTCATAAAGAACCATGCGCACTTCAGCTGCCATGTCTGCGCCTGGGTATGCCACACTTCAGCACAGGCTAAAGGAAATGGGGACACAGTAGCACAGGCAGCTTTCTCAATGCTCCAGAGTTCCACCAAGCTAGACTCATGCATTGCCTAAGCCCACAACAGTGACACACTGCTACTGTGCACACTCTTGGTGGAAGAGCAGTGGTCTCACCTCAGTGATCTAAAAAGAACTTCCTTAACAAAATGCCTTGAGTAACCCCCTGAGTAACGTTACTCCACTGTTAAAACATAACCTGGAAGGAGAAGACAGTTCACAAAGTCACAAATGTCCTTCTAAGTTTTGTGGTTTTACTGTTCTTCAAGTTTAATTTTTGTATATTATATGCTCAGGGTCTCATTTCAGATAAACCAGTTATATTTGGTAAGAAAAATGTAGCAATTTGAACAGGCTTGATGGTTCAGCGTGTGAAGGTGCTTGCCATGCAGGCCTGATGGACTGAGTTGTGTCCCTAGAATTCACCATGGAAAGCAAGAACAAAGTTATAGCAAGCATGTGCATGCCTGCACTCACACATCATAATACATACAAACAACAACAATAATAAAAATAAAATAATACAAAAAATCAGTTTTAACACCTGCAAAAGACAGGCTGAAAGCAACAATTAAGTCTAAGGAAAAAGACCATTGAAGAACTACAAATGCCACAATTTATTGTCCTTCAGTCTGGCATTAGGGAAGCAGTTAGTTAATCCAGTGTCTTCAATTCATTCTCACTTCTTGAATTCTATTTCTTTCCTCCAAAATGACTCTGTTTTCAGTACCTGTGTGGTGCAAAGGGGAGGTGGGCTTCATTTACACTCTACTACCAGCTAGGCAGATGCCAAGGGATGTTTGTTCATTTGTGAAATGAGAGGGTTACAGGACTGCTGTAGGGTTAAGTGACAAAATACCTATGACAGTGTGTAGCACCATGAAAGCCACCTTGTAAGGTCTCTATAAATATTATGAAATGTTAATTCTTTTCCTACATGAACCCTATCTGCCTCTATATTATCCTCTCCAAGTCAAGTGATCAAGTCTCATCTATTGAAAGCAACAAAATACTATTCAGGGATAATACTTCCCAAGTTTACGACCACTTCTATCAACAAACCTGTAAAGTACAGTAAACCCCTCATTGCCAATATTCTCTTGCTAATCATTATATTACAATCCAACTTTCTCCTCTACCATTCCACTGGCATTGTTTCATAAGCCCAATGTCTTCATACACTCAATGTCTTCAGTTGTCCTTCTACTAGACCTAGTCAGTCTGTAACACAGTTGTGCATTGTCCCCTCTTCCAAACTCTTCCCTCTATCCTACCTCCAACCCCACTTTGGGCTACTAAGGTTTTTTTTTTTCCTCTGCTTCTACTGCTGTTTTTACTTTAAACATTCTTATTCGTTACCTAAATCAAGAGATTCTTTAAGACCTTACCTTAATAACACTTAGTACGTTTTAGCCTCATCTTTTGGTTTTGTTTTTAAATATGCAATAAGCTATAAATAACATAGGCTAACATCTTATGTGGCGTATGTTTGGATGTAAGTAAAGGTTTGACTATGTGCTGTCTCTTAGTAAGATTCACACAGTTTTAATTATTTTCTCTCTCTAAAGAATTTCTAAATCTACTCCACTCTTTGCAGAGATTTCAGCTAGAATCTGATTAAACTAGAACAAAGGCACTCCCACCTAAATCAGACTCCTGTAACATCCCTAAATTCACTCTTTAGCTGAAACCCACCAATCCTATCCATTTGCACACAGAATGAGATCTATATTCTTATACTAGAGCCTGCAGAAGCCACATGATCTAGCCCACATTGCCTCCAAATGTCACCTTGTTCAGATCACTTTAACAACATCGGCTTTTAAAAAATGTTCTCGAAATAGGTATTTTCCACCTCAAAATCTTGGTGACGTTCTGTCTAGCTTGTCTTCTCCTTGGCTTATCACACCACAAATTCCTGGTCAGCATTCAGGTCTCAACACAAATACCACTTGCACAAAGGCTCCACTTTATCCACTAAGCTAAACTGCTCCACATATTCATATCCTAGTTCACTTTTTGTTCTCATAGACTTCATCAATATCAAAACAGAATGGACCTCACCTGTCTTACTCACAAATCTATCACTGGGACCTAAAAGCATTAGGTAAAGAGTGATGTTAGGCGAATATACTTGCATCAAATAATGAGAAAGTGAACGTTTACCTTCTTTTTACCTGTGAGTTTGCCATAGGAGTTAACAACACCTCTGACTTCTCGATGCTTTCTTCCTGTAACAAGTTTGCTGCTGATTTTTTAAAATCTTGCTTGAATTTGGTCTTTTACCTCCTTTTGTTGGAAGCTCACCTCTTAATCCCTACAACTAAGCTCTTTCTCCTGTTTCTTCTCTCTCCAATGTATCCCAATATTCCTGTCACAGTTAACTTCCCACAAGTCAGAGGCACTGACTGCTTTATATCACTCGTTTACATACTTGCCAAATGTCAATAAACAAATACTATGACAATAGGTGCAGATACACACACACACACCTGTACATACTTTACGTGGTATTTTAAAAGAAAATAGATATTGACACATAATTGAAAGTCTGTGTTTTCTGATACCAGACTGTGAAATGGGATCACTGTCTTTGCATCTCCCATATAACAACTTCACTTCAGTTATTATATAAATAATCAAGCATACACTGGAGAGTGTAGTGTTTAAAACTCTTGGTGCTACCAAAGGACACCATAATCTGGTACCCAACCACTCTTTTTGGCCTCCTCTGCATTGTTTTATTCATGTTTGCATTCTCACTATTCATCACATTATGTCTGGTATAACGAACTGGAAAACCTCATCCAGACCGCCGCCAAACCTGACACTCACAGGGCAGGTCTCGGCTGTGAAGTTTCTTTCCACATCGAGAGGAGAGCAACCACGGCCGACCTCTATTTTGTCCGTACCGTTCGTGACTGCTTCTCCGGGGTTACTTCAGGAAAACAGTAACTATCGATGAAGGAAAAGAATTTCATCTGCAGAAGAACATGGACACAAGAAGTGTTTCGATTGAGGCGCCCGTTCAAGTCCTGGTGGCTGGGGCAGCAGCGGCGAGCCGGAGGGCCAAAAGGAAAAAAACAAAACAGGGAAGTAGCAGTTTGAACCTCCCGCATCAAAAAAGGGACGTCTCTGGAAAAAGCGGGACCGGAAGTCCCGCCTCTCTCACGGCGAAGGGTCGGACCGGAAGAGCATAGGTTTTTCCGGGTCGGACCCTGCTCTCCACATAATGGGTGTTCAGTCCTCCTGCGGAAGCGTTGAAGCACGGTAGAAATTAGGTTTGTGGACCACCTTTCTCCCCTACCAGGCAAATACTAACGCAAGGATGAGGTTTAGCGGAGTGACTAAATTCTTAAAGGTAATCGTGGAGACTTTGTTTTAAGAAGTGCCAGGAAATGTCTTTTAATTTTATTGCCTATAGAGGTGTACAGACAGCCTACTATCTCAGTAACGTATGAGGCAGATTTGCTCAATTCATTGGGAGTCAGGATGGGGATTGAAGAATGACTGGGAAGACAAAATGATCATTTGATTAGTTGTGGGTGTTCCTAACACACACACACACAAAAACAAAAAACAAAAAACAAAAAAATACAGCGATCTATAAGAGCATATAGTAGATCGAGAAAACATTTCCACTGAAATCTGAAGGGTTTTTTTGTTTGTTTGTTTTGACCATGAGCTCAGAGCAAAGTGGGCAAAACATCCACAGGGACAATCCATATGACCTTAGCTTGAAATCTGGAGTTTTAAATAGGTGCTTGGTTAGTACAAGCAAAGGTCACGGTTTTGTGTTATAGCAGTCCAAGGGAAGGATGCTTTCCCTTAAAGGGGCTGAAGAGTGTTGGGAGGAAGGAAGCCCAAGCACTGGGACCAGATCACTATGGATGGATCAAGTGTTAAGGGAATTTTCTGATTCTGAATTATTAAGAATATATCTAGGCAACTATTTTTTAAAAGTTTTATTAGGTATACTTGTTAGGTGCAAGACCTTTAAGGAAAGATAACAGCATCAAGGGGCTGGGAAAAAATTAACTCAATTAACCATTTGAAAAAATATACTGATATGCAAATTGTTCCCAATCTTATGTATTTTTTGTTTTTTGAGACATGGATTCTCTGTGTAGCTTTAGTCTATCCTGGAACCTGCTATGTAGAACAGGCTGGTCTCAAACTCACACAGATCCGCCTGCCTCTGTGACCTGTGACAGTATGTTTTATACATTGCACAGTTGTTTTCCACCCCTGCCCTTTCCCCCTCCAATGTTTAAGACCTGAATGGAATTTTTACTATGGGAGATTTCATGAATTTCTGAAAGATGTCTGGAATTGCCGATGGAGAATAGATTGTGGTCAGCAAGGATAGAAAGAAGAGTGCAGTAGGCGGCTTTTGAACAAATGAGAGAAAATAACCCTTAGAATGTAGGTCCTCAACACTAAGGAGACAGCAGCTCCAGCAATTATTTAGAATTAATTATATTCTTGGGAATTACTAGACTTGGGACTTCAGAGAAAGTAAGACTCTAAGATTGCACAAGTTTCTGATTTGGGCAAGTGGGAAGGTAGCAGAAATTATAATTTACAAAAAGTTTGAGCTGGACTCAAATTTTCTAAGCTCACTTGGTGAAAATTAAGATTTGGCTGGAATCGGGAAATACCTAGAGAACAATGGCTGTTGCATGCAAATTGAAGATTTAAGAATGAAAGGGTTGGGGTGCTGGAGAGATGGCTCAGAGGTTAAGAACACCAGCTGCTCTTCTTTACCAGCATTAGAAAAGGTCTTAAATCCAAGAACCAAGATGCTAGCTTTCATTATTGGAAAAGAAGAGCAAATATAACCCAGCATGAGAAGAATATAGGAAAATATAAGATAGTAAGTAAATAGAAGATACATAGAGACACTGAATAAGAATGATTCTGTGAGAAAAAAAAAAAAAAAACCCTGAAAAAAAAAAAAAAAAAAAAAAAAAAGAACACTAGCTCTGCTTCGAGAGAACCTGAGTTCAATTCCCAGCAACCACATAGTGGCTCACAACCTTCTGTAACTCCACTTCCAGGGTACCAGACACTATTCTGTTCTCCCTGGGTACCAGGCACACACTGGTCCAGACAGACAGACATACAAAATAATTTTTAAAACTGAAGAATCAGGTAATGTTAAGAGAAGCCTACAAAAGCATTGCAGAAGAGCACAAAGCTAATTATTGTGTCTTAGATGCCTAGATGTTTTAAAATTTGTTCAGTATTGCTAGAGAGAAAGCTGAAACAAAGATCTATTAGATTTAGTGAGGCAGGGGCCAGGGTCATTGGTGATTTCAGTGAGAATCATTGCATATAGTAGGAAAGAAAACAATGGATTTGAAGAACAAATAGGGAGACAATGAGAGGGATAAATATGGGCCACTTGAGAAGAGTATGTTCTCTGGCCCAAGAGAGCCAGATTTTACTTTTTTAAAAATTTGATAAGAATAGCATGGGGTAGGGGGGGGGGGGGGGGGGGGGATTAAAAGAAAACAAAAAATAAGCATCATTAACCATTTAATAACAGAATTTAATAATTCACTAAAGAGGCAGAAATGTCTAGTAAGGATGCTTCCTGTAGAGGAAGATAAACTGGATACAGATATATTTGTGTACATTTGATTTTTAATGTTTTTCCTGTAAAGCAACTAATTAGGTAATGAAAGGTTAGAGGAGGGATGAAGCAATTAAAAACAGACCAAGGGAACACAGCAATCACTAGCAGTACAGACAGGCTAAGTGACAGTGGTGATTCTGAATTTTCAGTGACACATAGCTCCCAGAACCATGGCTTCTGAATGCCATGTTGCACTCACAGGATTATTTTTGCTAGACCAACATAATAGGGCAGCAGCACACATGAGCTTAAGTTATTCCTGCCTGCCAAAGTAGTCAAAGATCACCAAGCTCAAAGTCTGTTTGTTGGTAAAATTGGAAGGGTATCCTTCACAAGGGATGGAGTCCCATCTTTACTAAAATTTGAGTTTTTTTTTTTTTTAAAGATTTTATTTATTATGTATACAACATTCTGCTTCCATGTATATCTGCACACCAGAAGAGGGCACCAGATCTTATAATGGATGGTTGTGAGCCACCATGTGGTTGCTGGGAATTGAACTCAGGACCTCTGAGCCATCTCTCCAGCCCAAAATTTGAGTTCTTGATGAAAGATTCTGATAAGTCCTGAGGGAAGGGAGACTAGTTTGGTGGAAGGGGCTGTTTCTGCAGCAACATAAGAAGCAGAATTTGAGTGCTGCCATGAAACAAGAGCAGTTTAGGAACTGGGTCTTTCTAGTAGAAGACAAGCAGAAGCATTTCCTGGGAAGATTGCTGGAAACAAAGCAATGGTCCTGCCAACAAGGCTAGCATCACATTTGCCCTTTAAAGCCACTTTAAGACTGGATGAAAACATGTTAACTTGACAGCTGCTCTGTGTTCACCCCAAGAACCTGATGGTAAAGGGGCTTTTTTTTTTTCCTTTTTGAGCTGACTTTCAGCCATAACAGGTTTCCCATAATCCTACCAAACACCCTTCTCATTAAATATGATCAAACTTTTTAATAATAATAAAAACTACACTCACCTGTCCTCCATGCAGGTTACGATTTAGTGGGATACCTACAGAATTACCTGGTCAAAGACTGTCTGACTTTAAACTCTAACAGCCTCTGGAGATAAGCTCTATGGTTCCCTCAAGTATATGTCCTCCATCACTGTGACAAGCCCAGGCCACTGAGATATAGCATGTTCTTGCCTTCTAGTTAAGACTGGGCCAGAGTTCATAAACTGACTGCCAATTAAGACCAATATTTCTTTTGTCGTCACAACTCAAGACTGACAATGAATGGCACCAGTGCCTATGCTCACTGGAAAGCACTGTGTTCCCATTTCTACAAGATATTTATATTTGTTCCTAGTGAAGACATGCATTCTACAAGACAATGTGACACAGGACCAACTCATTACAGATTTAGAACCAAGACAATAAATGCAGCCGCATGGCTTCTTCCTGTTTTGGTATGCCCAAGCCCAGAATCCAGCCAAAATGCTGTGAGAAGTTCAAGAGAAATGAAGCCATCTGCAAAATGTCAGTGTACCTAGCTTTAGTCTTCATGGCCACAAGATGGCTCCAAGCATTACAGCCCCCAGCTGCTCAAGCTATCACCATTCCACTGTTTTCACTACTAAAGTGTTCTTACATTTGATAGGGATCGAACTTAATTAAGGCCTCTTCTGCATGCTAAGCAGATGATCTAGCACCATTAGACCCTGCCTGAGTAGTTTTTTTTTTTATGTAGAATCTACAATGCATGTAGATTCTGTTGATAAAGTACAGTAACAGGTGACAATGAGGTGAGTGGTTAAATACTGGATGTTTACACAGTGACCACTAAATGTCTAAAATATATGCAGCCCAGTTGTCTCTTGGTATCTATTTTTTAAAGATTTATTTATTATATATACAGTGTTCTGTCTGCATGTATGTCTGCAGGCCAGAAGAGGCCACCTGTTCTCATTACAGATGATTGTGAGCCATCATGTGGTTGCTGGGAATTGAACTCAGGCCTCTGAAAAAGCAGTCAGTACTCTTAAGCTGAGCCATCTCTCCAGCCCCTCTTGGTATCTGTTCTAATGTGCTATTAACTGTTAGGTTCCAAGAGTGCAGGCTGTGCTGGTATGACAAATTCCAAAACATCCAACTACATATGTACTTGTTCTAGAAATTAATGTATTTGTTAATTTCCCAGGTTCATTCATTATTGAATTCACTTATTCAATTGGTATTGAATATCTTATCTATAATTTTTTTTTTTTTTTTTTTTTTTTTTTTTGGTTTTTTGAGACAGGGTTTCCTCTGTGTAGCTTTGTAGACCAGGCTGGTCTCGAACTCACATTGATCCGCTTGCCTCTGCCTCCCCAGTGCTGGGATTAAAGGCATGCAACACCACCGCCTGGCTGAATATCTACAATCTTACAGCAATTTGTCTTAACTTTTAAACCTTTAGTTTATTCATGTAAGCAAGCTTAACAACAAATTCTTTAAAATACCATTTCAAAAACTTAGGAGAACAAAACTAAAGTTTTATTTTCAAATTCTAATTTTAATATGGACTGAACAAACAAGCAGAAACGTGAGAAAACTAACTTTGTAAGCAGACACAGATGTACCAAATGTAAAACAATGAGTTATTAACATAACTATTTACATGCATATTTACAAGCAACCCTTTTATATTTTTAGTTAGTTGGAAAAAGATTTGACATTAGGTAAAAACATTAAACAGGGCTGAGGTGGTACATTATAGTAAAAGTATTAGAAAAGTGGTATATCAATTATAAAGCAGATGAAAACTTGAATGACAAATACCTAGTAAAATTCTCTAGTAAAAAGTCAATACAACCCATGCTATGAAATACAAATGAGAACACCATATAAAGAAAGCAGAATAATGCTGTAGGATGGAGGGTGATGAAGTTAGTCAGGTGAAACAAACAAAGCAAATGATTCTTGAATTGGAATAAATACACAATGAAGTCTTGGCTCCTTAGCTGGTGTTCCAAGCCCCACCCACCCCTCAATTAATGAGTTTAAAAGCCCTTGATATCAAATAGCATCTACATATGTAAGTTGTTTATATTCTCCAAGACTTTGGTGCTAAAGATTTTCATGATTGTGATTAGTATTTGAAACTCAATTTATAGAGAAACAAATGTTAAACTAAAATTAAAAGCAGTAATAGTCATGTCTAAAAAAGAATGCTACATTTTTGCAGTAATATGTATTTCCAGGCTAAGACTTTTTAACCTCAAGAAAAAGATGTTGAATGATAAGCATCTATTCAGCTAGCAAAATTTTCTTTCAACATTTCATTTATTTCAAAATCGATTTTATTGCAGCCAAAACAGTAGAATTAACTGTACATAATAAAACTATTATATATATATACACATTTTAAGTTACAGGGAATAAAGTTTATTTTGGCAGGTAGTGTTAAACAAAATTACAGTTGCATACATTAGTAACATAACTCAACATCCTTAATTTGGTATAAGTTTGACACAGTTTCTTGCTTTCCTGTGTTCTGCTAAATCACCATACCTAAACAAAAAAAAAAAAAAAAAAAAAAAAAAAAAAAAAAAAAAAAAACCCAAAACGATAGCCTCAAATTTAACTTTACTGTTTTCGCTTACGCTCTGATTCCAAACAAAACTTTTCATAAGCTTCTTCAATCTCTGGGTCCATCTCATCATCAATATCATCCAAGTATCTGCAAAAAAAAAGCCAAAAATGATTCATGGAACTTTTCAGTTCACTGTTTTTCAAGTGTGGAAATGTCTGGAGATGTTAAGCTGCACTTTCCTAGACTGAATTCTGTTATACTTTTAGATATGTGTACCTAAAAATTAAAGATTTGACATATGTAAGTTCACACCTTATTAATAAACACATTAACTAGAACATGATTTCAGAAATGACATTTGCTTATGTTTTTTTTTATCCCACTCAAAGTTTTATCCTTCCAGTAGTTATGTCTAACTAACATTAAAGCTTATTTATGCAAGGCTCTTTTCACAATGATACAGATCTCAATGAAACCAGACTGTGTAACAGGAAGCTACTTCTGAGATTTATGTAATCCAGATGGCCCTGTGCTCCAAGTTCCAGCAGTTTAAAATGATGTAGGACACTGCAGCATGGTGGTGCACTCTTGTTATCACAACGCTCAGAGGACAACTTTGTGAAGTCCTTTTCTCCATCCACTTTACACGGGGAATCTAGGAGTCATCAGGCTTATGAAGAAAGAAGCCCTTCTGCCAGCTGAGCCATCTTCCTGGCCCCCCAATGCCATTCCTTTATCATCTTTCTTTTCCTTTAGTTATACTCAAAACTTGGTCACAAAAGCTTCATAAGAACAATGAGTAATAAGGGGTGGGGGTAGGGAATGATTCAGTATAAAGCAGTTGCTACACAGCATGGAGGCCTAAGTTTAGCTCCCCAGTGTGCATGTAAAAAGCTGGGTGTGGTGGTTAGTGACTATAATCCCAGAAATGGGGAGGCAAGACAGGCACATTCCTATAGGTCAGCCAACCTAAGTGAAAGCAGTTACCTCCAGGGTTAGCAAGAGACCCCGATTCAGAATAACATGGACAGTGACTAACGGAGACACCTGACATCAACCTCTGGCCCCCTTATGCATGTACACAACAATACACGTTCATAAAACACATCAGTAATGAAAAAGAGAACTTACGGGTCACCAGCCCCGGATAAATCTGTTCCATTTTCTTCATAATCTGGAAAAAAGTCCTCTCTTTCAAGTAACTCCTGATACTTCTCTTGGTAATCTGTGATAGGAAGAAAATGAGCAGATCATCTTATGAAATGAGCAATTTTGTCCCTACAACCTCTTTAAGAAGGACTTGTTTAAACAGAAAAAAATTACATAATATGCTTTCATAAAATGTATGTTCTATTCAGCTTGCTCTTATTTCCTTGCATGCTCCCAAACTTATACACACTATGTTTTAAATGTAAATATATTCCACAGTTGGTTACTGAGGATTGAACCTCAGGTCTCCCATATACTATGGCAAATACTCTACAGCTCAACTAATAACTCTGATATCTCCTAACTTTTTGTTTGTTGAGAGAGAGTTTCTATAGCTCCTGGAACTCCCTGTGTAGACAAGGTGGGCCTCGAACTCAAAGATACTCCAGCCCTCACCTCCCAAATGCTGGGGTTAAAGGCATGTGCCACCATACCAGGCTCTTTTCGCAGGTAGAGGGGGGGGGGGGGGGGGGGGGGGGGGGGGGTGGGGGGGGGGTGTGTGTGTGTGTGTGTGTGTGTGTGTGTGTGTGTGTTTTGAGACATGGTCTCTTTTTGTGGCCCTGGCTGCTGTGGAATTCCCTATGCCAACCATGCCAGCCTTGAACTTATGGAGATTTCTCCTGCCTCTACCTCCAAGCACTGGGACCAAAGCTTTGGGCCACCATGCCTGGCTTAAATTAGATTATCCTGAACCAGGATCTTACTAAGTTACCCAGGTCTGTGTTGTAAGCCTCCTGACTCTACCTCCAGAGCAGCTAGGATGACAAGCCTATATCACAGCAGGCTAATCTTCATTTTTATTTGGAAAGTTTATTCTATTTCTGGGTTAGGGCCAAGTTTTTCCAAGACTGTCTTTATAAAACTCTAATATAACATCAGGGGTTGGTGCCATTCTAATTTTGACAGGTTAGAGAAAATTTAAGCATAAAAACTCCCTGCTCTAATATATTTTTAAATGTATCAATGCACATCAACAGGGAACTCCAGATCATGCATATACACACTACAGCTTGGAGGCTCACAGAGGGTGCTGGCTTCAGTTGTCAAAGGGCTTGGCATTTAAAAACACACAGAACATTCAAAAGCAAGGCCCTGGGTCTGTGTAGAAGAGGAAGATAGAACTCATGCTCTATATACCTATCTCTCATCCTTCATAAACATCTAAGGGTCGACATCTTAAAAGGTTGAACCTGGAAAAGCAAATAAAACACCTCAGTGGCAAACAAAAGTTGATTATACGTTTGAGTATGGAATGAGGTCAGACACTCTGGAGAAACCATTTTCCCAGAGTTTGTAACTCTCCACATAAAAAAAAAAAAAAAAAAAAAAAAAAAAAAAAAAAAAAAAAAGCTGAATACGGAATAATTGTTATCAAAAGAACATCTGGGAAAAGGCCAATGGAGAATCCTTGTGCAATTTTTACTTTTCAGTAATTTTGAAGTAATTCCTGATTAAAGGTTTAAGAAAGATAAAAATGAGCTTGCAATAAAAATTTCTTGGGCTAGAGTGATTAATAGTTCAGTGATTAATAGCACTGGTTGCTCTTCCAGAGGTCCTGAGTTCAATTCCCAGCACTCATGTGGTGGCTCACAACCATCATAATAGGATCTAATGCCATTTTCTGGCATGTAGGTGTATATGCAGAGCATCCATACATAAAAGACAAATAAAATTAAAAATCAAAAAAAGTATTGATGCCAAAATAATCTTTCTTTCTTTCTTTCTTTCTTTCTTTAAGATTAAGATGTGGCTTACCAGAAATAACATGATTTATTAAGAATAGTTCAGAACAGGTTATTGGTGTATAAAGACAAATACATGAACAAAGAATCTACATGAATGTATGCAGCATACCACAGGCAGCTTATTATAACTAAGAGAGGAAGAATAAGTTAATACCTGCTGCTGAGACAATTCAGTGAAAAAATATTTTACCTACTATATTCTCTATGTAAAAATTAGGTAGATATAAGGCTTAAATAGGAAAAATAGCAAAATGTGATTTTTAAAAGAAAATAAAATGTAAGTAAAAAACAACACAAATAAGACTGATAAATTAAAACTCAAAGCATGTATATGAAAATACATTATAAAGAAAATGGAAAGACAGTTACATAGCACAAAGGGATAAAAACCTTAACTGATCAAGATCATCATTTTGTAGACTTTGTAAAGAACTACAAATCATGCGGGGCAGTGGTGGCACATGCCTTTAATCCCAGCACTTGGGAGGCAGAGGCAGGTGGACCTCTGTGAGTTCGAGAACAGCCTGATTTACAAGAGCTAGCTAGTTCCAGGACAGCCTCCAAAGCTACAGAGAAACCTGCCTTGAAAAACCACATACCACCCCCCCAAACAACAACAACAACAAAAACAAAAAAACCCAAACAACAACAACAAACTACAAATTACAAATGATCCAGCAGAAATATGGGAAAAAGACAACCAAGGGGCAATTTTCAAAGAAAAAAAAAATCAAAGGCAGGAAGAAATTCAGTATTATATTAGTCATAAAAATAACTACAGAGGTTTTCCTATAGTTGGGCTGACAGTAATTATGTCTATTAAGTGTTTTCAAGAATGAAAAATGAAAGTTATCTGAGCTTCGGGTGAGAAAACTAAATGGAACAATCATTGCTGGAAAGCAATATAGCAACACTGGCTTAGTGAAGCTGAAGATGCTAACCCTATAACTTAGTTCTACTTACTCATCCTAAAGAGACTTTTGTGCCAGAAGAACATTACAATGTTGTTATTCAGAGGAAAAGACTGAAAAAACTGTTATAGCTGGCTGTAGTTTGTACTAAATTAGAAGACTTTCAGTCTACTATCCCACCTGTCACAATTACTGCCATTTTTATATAAATAACCCTTTCCTGGAAGGTATGTAGAGATTTGGCTTGTAAAAAGGGTACTAATATGCAATCTGTAATTCTTAGTAACTGTAATAACATAAGCTGCTGACTATGTATGCAGTCCACTAGATTCACCTCTGCCTTCTAAGCATCTGAAAATGTAAGATGAAAACAAACTAAGCAGTACAAAATAAAAATGGCTGCACTTAATTGAGGGAAGAAATGTCTAACTGGTAAAATGACAAGACACTAAAAACAAATTACTTGGAATAGTCCCAAGTAATCAATTTAAATACAACATATGACAAATTGTAACCCTACAATTTTATAATATATGAAATCCTCCAGTAGGTGGTGGCATATGCTTTTAATCCCAGCACTCAGGAGGCAGAGGCAGGAGGATCTCTGTGAATTTGAGGCCAGCCTGGTCTACAGGGCGAGTTCCAGGACTACAAAGAGAACAAGCCAAACAACCCCCCCACAAAAAAAAAAAAAAGAAAAAAGAAAAAAGAAAAGAGAAAGCCATACTTTGTACTGTCAAATGTTTTATATAATTACTACTTAAAAAAAATAGGGGAAGTGACTGAGACAACATACCTGGGTCAGCTGCAGTGAAAGGAACACCATCAGATGTATAAAATGTTGGTTCATTCTAGGATGAATCAAAATGATAAAAGTAGCCACTCTATTGTACACAAATAAGTAACCCCCAATTTACTGGCAATGCATATGACTTTTAGGTTTCCATTTGGTCCTCATACCCTCTGTAGTTCTGGGTCCTGCTGTTTAGTGTTTGATGCATCCCTGGGAACTGTGATTTATGCTGACTTAGCTTTTAGCTTTGTTTTATTATCCTGCCATTTTTAAGGTGGTTACAAGATTGGGGTTGAACATTCCTCGGTACCTGCTTTTCATTTGGTGACGTCAGAAGCTGTCCTGGTCTTTTTTACTTTACTACTACATGCACAGAACATCTGAGATGTAGGAATTTGGTTATAATGCTGACTCAAACCCAAGCATCATCACTCTTTCTTGACAATGGATGATCCTTTTCACTAGAGGGTCTCTCTGTATTTACACAATCTACTGGCTCCTATGGCAATACATTTTTTTAATTGGCACTGGATTATCAGAATAGCATTATATAAGCAATATATATAAGCAATTTCCAAAACTGAATTCACAATTCGGTAGTTTGAACAAGAGCCCTGTTAGGCTCATATGTATGAATATGAGTTGGTGAACTGTTTGGGAAGGATTAGGAGATTTGCCTTGCTGGAGGAAGTGTGTCACAGGGGGCAGGATGTGCAGTTTCAAAAAACTTTCATATCATCCCCAGTGTGCTTTGCCTTCTTTTTGTGCACTGAGACATGAGCTCTCAGCTGTTCCTACTTTTGCCTTTGCTCCACCATCACAGACTCTAAACTTCTGTAACTGCAGGCCCAATTAAATGCTTGCTTTTGTAAATTGCCTTGGTCACAGTGTTTTATCACAGCTATAGAGAAGTAATAGACAAAGCATTAAGTGAAACTTAAAATACAAACACAGCATACCATAAAGTAGTTAGGGTCATTTTCAGGGGTAGCTTCTCTGTATGTTGAAGTTGCATGGACTCTGCCCCAGTTACTTGATCGAAGTTCTACAAGCTTCAAGAGCATCTGTTTTACATCTCTACAGACAAAAATTAGAAACAAATTAATATGCATCCACTGCCCAAGTGCTGTCAGGCTCCAAAGTATTTCCAATGAGGCTCCATTTACTCAATTTAACACAGACACCTAATGCTTTAAATTTCTAGACACTTTCAATGACGTAATTCACTGTATTATTTTTACTAAAAAAAAAAAAAAAAAAAAAAAAAAAAAAAAAAAAAAAAAGGCTTGAGTTCCAGGATAGGCTCCAAAGATACGCAGAAACTGTTTCAAAAAAAAACCCACAGGCTTGAAACTTGGTTTAGTAGCACATGCCTTAGTCCTAGCACTTGGAGGCAAAAGCAGGCAGATCTCTGTAGGTTAAAAGACAGCCAGAGCTACAGTGAGACCCTGCCTTGAAAAAAACAAAAAGCAAAAAACTTGAAATCTGTTTCACTTAACTGACTATATATATGGTCATTAATTACACTGGTCTCTTACATTACTTATGGTAGAGTTCACTACACAAACAGGTCCATGTTTAAAGTCTAAATCATTTTCTTTCTCAATAGACTCATCATATCTTACCACAAAGAAAAATCTAAGTTTTTAACTGAACAAAACTTAGTAGTGAGAAGCCATAGACAAAATACTAGATTGATCCATAATCTTAATTACTTTGATGAAGCATAAAAACCGGAAAAAAAAAAAAAAAAGTCTGAGATCTACTGGCTTCTTTTCCTACCTGCTGCAGTTTGCATCTAGGACAACATTTTCAATTCTCTGAATTACTTCTTCCATATCAGTTTTCCCCTTTTCCTTCCAAGTATCTTCTAAAACTGACCCTGTCAACTAAAAGCACAGATGTCAGTAAAATCAGGAATGCAATAGAGGAGAGATTTTAAAAAGGTATTGGCAAAAGCTAGAACTTTTATTTTTTTCAAGACAAGTGTTTCTCTGTGTCAACAGCCCTGGCTGTCCTAGAACTCACTCTGTAAATCAGGCTAGTCTTGAACTCATAGAGATCCACCTGCCTCTCAAGTGCTGGGACAAAAGGCGTACACCACTACTGCCCAGCTCTATAACTTTTTTTTTTCTTTAAGCAAGATGAATTAAATGGTTAGATATTTCCAAATTATTCTCTGCCTACTACCTATATTCAGAGACTTCTATACCATCTCTGCTTTTGACTAATTAGAAAATAAAGCTACATGGTTTCATGTCCATAATTATGTTATAGTCCCTATATGACTAAAATTGGCTATTAAATTTTAATGAATGCCTCTTTAAAAAATAATCAACAGCCAGATGTGGTGGCACATGCCTTTCATCTCAGCAACTGGGAGGCAAAGGCAGGTGGATCTCTGTTTGACAGTCTGGTCTACAGAGTTGATTCCAGGACAGCCAGATCTACATTGTAACACTCTCTCAAAACACACATACATAGATTCATATTTGTGTGTGTGTGTGTGTGTGTGTAAGCTCTGAATTAAAAAAAAAAATCTCTAAGAAAAACATTAAAGGGGCTAGAGAGCTAGCTCATCCCATAAAGGCATTAATTGTGCAAATATGATGACTTTAGTTTGAACCCCTGAAAAAAAATGATGTGGTAGTACACACCTTTAATCCCAGAGTTCCTACAGAGGAATGGGAAGTAAAAGCAGGAGACTCACATAGACGCTCACCAGCCATATAACCTAGAGTATGAAGGCCAGCAGCATAAACAAGAGACCCTGCCTCAACAAGGTAGAAAGTGAAAGTCAACTCCCAAAAATCATGTGCTCTGCCCCCTGCATGTATACTTCTGTGTACAAACATGTGTACACACACAAACACACACACACACACACACACACACACACACACACACACACACACACACACACACACAGAGTATGTAAAATGTTTAAAATACAGAAATTAAGGATATGAATAGGCCATTCACAAAAATGGCTAATAAGCATGAAGGAATGCTTAAATTGACTACTGATCAGGTAACTTCAAATTATACTGAGGATTTCTTTTATTCACCATGACAAAAGCAAACCCAAATTGATTCTACTTTTCCCTGGCAGATGTGGAGAAAGGTATACTCACTCATTACCAGGAAGAGTATACTGTAGCTCAGCAAACTTGGATATTATCTGTCAATATAAAATACCTATGTTCATTGACCCTCTGAATCTGTTCAAAAATTTAATCTTCAAAAGTATCCATAAAGAGATAATGAAAGACTACTAGCAGTGCTACAGTAGCCAAATGGAAAATAGCCCAAATGTTCATTAAAATAATAGATGAACACTATATTTGAATACAATAGGATACTAAGAAGTTACTCAATACAGAGCTAAATTCTCTCTGAAATGATTAAGAATTTTCATCTGGGAGTCAAAAAAATAAAAAACCTAAAATAGACTAAGAACTGTTTTGTAAAAGGCACACAATCATAGAAAGGAAATTTACAAATGGGTTAGGATGAAAGATTTCCAACAACCAGAGTTCAATTCCCAGAATCCACACGGTAGAAAGAAAACCCCTCAAGTTGTCTTTTAACTATATGTGTGCACAAGCACACAAAAAATGATAAAAATTATTAAAATTATAATATTGTAAAATTTTTTAAAAGAGAAAAACCAACCTTTAGCAACTTTACTGCACAAATTAAGTTGTCATCCATAGGATTGGAGAACAGAGCATTCAGCAGTTCCCGTAGGCCAACCTGAAGAATATCTGCTCTTGTAACCTGTCCATTTGTTCCTTTGATCTTTAGGAGAAAAAACAGTAAGATGACTAAAAGCAACAATACTCAAATGTGATACAGATATATAAATAGCCTATGAATTAGTTGCAAAACTAAGAATCTCAGTTAAATATAGGAACACACACTGTGGTAACTTCAAATTAATTACAATTATCCTCTATATAAATAAGACCTCTAATAAAACTGTATAGGTTATAGGTAAAATTTAATTCTTATTCATCACACATAAAACACCATGGAAATGTAAGTCTACTCAATACTGCTGCTTCACTAAACATGCTGTAATTTAAGCTAAATTGGTATTTAAAGTTTTTGTTTTGTGTGTATAGGGTGGCTAGGTGGTGGTGGTGGTGGCAGCAGTGCACACCTTTAATCCCAGCACCCAGGAGATAGAGGTCTGCCTGGTCTATAGAGCAAGTTCCAGGACAGCCAAAGCTACACCTTGTCTCAAAACCAAAACTAAGCAAAACAAAAAGACTGAAAAAGGAATACACTAAGACTTTAAAATAATGTGGCACTGAAGCTGGGTATGGTGGCTCTGGCTTATAATCCTAGTACACGGGAGACTAAAGCAGGAGGATTACAAGTTACAAGTTCGATGCCAGCCTGGTTGACAGAGTTAGCTTTCTGAGACCATAAGGGTTTTTAAAAGCTTAGTGGTGATTTTGTAACATCCTGCTCATGAGTAGAATAATGTTCCATTCAAATATAATTGGGTATGAAAAGATTTGCTTTCTCTATTACTCTTCATTTTGCTTAACACTCACAGGGTCAGGTCACACTATGCAACCTGAGCTAGCCTAAAACTCAAGATTCCTAAGTGCTAGGATTGCAGGCAGTTATCACCTGGTAGAGTTCATTACACTAATTCCCCCCCCCCTTTTTTGATGTTGTAAAAGTATAATGTGGACAAAAATTTCTCCCTGGAAGGATTTTTCATGTTCAAGCCTTGAGTACTAGTAAAAAGTGCTCTCACCTCCAGGTTAAGATACAGTTCTCCCAGAAACAGAACAAAGGCATGGAATCGTTTTCGAGTCACTTCATCTCCTTTTGCAGCTTCGTCTTTAGCTTCATATTCCGTCCGGCACCTAATAAAGATGTATCTTTTACCATCTCATACTGCTTTGTCTTTTCAACAGTAAAATGAGATAGTTGTCAGTCTAGTTACCAACAGTAATAAAGGCAAGCACAATGACTGTTTTGACCTCATCAAACAATGCAGTTTTAAGATACAGATCAAATTGTAATATTAACAATATAGATTTCACAAGGATCCGAACATTCTAGCACTAAAAGAGGAAAAATGACGTGCCTCAAAGGTATTTTTGCCAAAGAAACACTACTTTTCTCCAACTCTGAAGTGTTTTCTTTCTTTTCTGTAAAGAATGTATGTGTTTATCCAGTTACACTGAAGGGGTAGAGGGAGAAAAAGAAGCCTTGTCTTTTTTTTTTAAGACTGACTCTGGGGCCTTGTGTGTATGAGGCAAGGCAACTATGAGCAATATCCCCAACCCCTTTTAGTATTTTGTAAATGGGTTTTGCTGAGTTGTTCAGGCTGGCTTGAACTCATTATGTCACTTAGCCAAGCCTTCAACCCACAGCCCTCTGCTCTGCCCTCCCAGAGTCCCGGTTTAGATGATGCACCAGCACACCCAACTACATTCTTTACTCCTGTATTTCCCAGATATATTATTAGAGATTATACCTAGGGTAAAAATGAACAGAGCCTCACCAGTTGAAATCACAAAGTCCAATTAATGTCTCTATTTTCAATGGAGACCAAAGGTGTCAAATAACTGATTTTTTTTATTTATTTATTTTTCCCTAAAACAGATAATGAACAGAAAAGTTGGAGTTTATACTCACAGTTTCAAGGCATCTAAACTAATCCTAACTGTCTACCACAGAATCTAGAGGGAAATTATGGTTAGCCACTATTACTATAATGGATGTTTTTAAAAGGTTTTCATTTTCTTTCTTTTTTTTTTAAAGTAGGAAATGTCTGGGAAAGTAATTCATTTTATAAAATTGATGTTGGCAGCTATTAAGAGAAAGAGAGAGAGACAGACAGACAGACAGACAGACAGACAGACAAAGGAAGAGGCTGGAAAGATCACCCATCAATAAAGAGCTTTTGGAGACTGAATGGTTCCCATATAGCCTCCCTGATATAAAGTAAATAACAATTTACTTTAAATGAAGAAATCCTCTCTTGCCCAAACATTTACCGGTCAGTGTGAAATGACCACAGACTTGTTTGCATGTAGTCCAATTCTAGTCCAATGCTATACCCTAATGAGCACCATCTTTTGAGTCAAACCTAGCAAGATACACATACTACCTTCTCATGCATATTAAAGCAATTCTCATTAGAAGAAATGTATGTAAAGGATACTGGTTAAGATAATAAAAGGGCTAATTAATGGCAACTCAGCATTCCAAATCTTTTCCTATTTTCTTTCTGTTGTAATTTTGTAGTTAAGTTTCGATAAAGCAGACTTTTTCTCCCCTAAATTTCTAAGGCCATATGATGTAAGACACAAAGTATGTGCCCAAGTAAATCCTTAACCCCCATACATGGATATTATCCAGGTGAAAGACCCTAAATCCTCTAAAGCTAATTATTTTCAATTATAGAAAGAACCTGTGTTTATTTCACAAAGGTGAAAACAAAGACCAGATAACACCCCCATGTCACTGCAACTTCATTTTGTCTCTTTCAAAGTATACATACATACATACATACATACATACATACACACACACACACACACACACACACACACACTTACTTTTAAGGGTAGAGTTGTGTTGTTCCCCACTCAGATTATTGATAGTATTACAGTACTATAGAAGTTCACACAGTGGAAAGTCAAAGAAAACTCAAACAATGAGAAATTTAATATGGTGGCCTTTTTGTCATCATACCCTGCTTATAGTCCAATTCCTAGAGATCTTTTACTAATAGAAGCTCTTATAGGAGAGCATTGCTATATATAAAATTTCTAATTTTTACTTCATATAAATTTGACTTCCCCCAGATGTAATTTATATCTACATTTTGCAAGTTTATGGCCTATGTCTTGCTCAAAATAGCTTTGACAACCCAAGATATGTTTGCTTTTTAAATACTTCCCTATTTGTCTCCCTTCAGTCTGATGTGCTTGGTATTTAATCTGGTATAGGACAGGAACCCATCTCTCCTTTTACTTTTTCTCTGAATGGTTATACACTTGAGCTGCTAGCACAATTAATTCATCTTTTACATGTGCATTTGAAGTACCACTTTTATCAATGGGTTAACTTTTTAAATTTTAAGAAATTAAAATATAACTATATCATTCATTTCACCCCATCTCTCCCCCAAATACATAGCCTCTTACTTTTTAATTGTTGTTGGTGTATGTGTGTGGTGTGTGTGTGTGTGTGTGTGTGTGTGTGTGTGTGTGTGTAACCAGCTCAGACCCTTTGATGTTACTTGAATGCATATGACTTCAGGGCTGACCACTTGGTACTGGATAATCAGTGGGCTCTTTCCTAGGTGTGCTGGCTAGTTTTATGTCAACTTGACACAAGCTAGAATTATCTGAAAGGAGGGAACCTCAAGTGAGAAAATGCCTCTATAAGATCCAGCAGTAAGGCATTTTCTTAAGTAGTGATTGATGTAGGAAGGCCCAGCCCATTGTGGATGGTGGCATCCCTGAGCTGGTGTGCCTGGGTTCTACAAGAAAGCAGGTTGGGCAAGACATGGAAGCAAGGCAGTAAGCAGCACTTCTCCATGGCCTCTGCATCAACTCCTGCCTCCAGCTTCCTGCCCTGCTGGAGGTCCTGTCCTGACTTCCTTTGATGTTGAACTGTGATACAGAAACGTAAGCCAAATACATCTTCTCCTCTCCAAGCTACTTCAGTCATGGTGTTTCATCACAGCAATAGAAACCCCAGGACACTAAAGACTACTTTCCCCATTCTCAGCATTCCTAGTTACCTGCAGTTCTGTCTAGGGTTGGGAGACTATGAGTTTTTTTCTGGATTAGCTGGGTTCTATGTTTAGAATTCTTACTCAGAAATATCTTGTAATCATTAATTGTTTGATGTGTGTGTCTGTGCACACACATGAAGGCATGTACAGTGGAAAATGAGCTCAGAGGTTTGCACTCTAGTCTCAAAGTACATCTTTAGCCCTCCATTAGAAGTATGTTCAAGTAATTAGCAGACAAGAGATATTAAGCTTTTAAACATGAAAATAATCTTATTGCTAAAGGCCCCTCAAATGATGAGAATTTTTAAAAAATTAGTTTTAATTTTCTGAGGAAGTATCTCACTTTGTAGCATAGGCTGGAGTGGAATTTAGTATGTATCCCAGGCTAGCCCTGAACTTGAAGCAATTCTGTCTCGGGGTGAATTACCACACTATAAGAAAATTAAAGTTTTCCCTAATAGTTCATGAATCAATGCCAACTATTAAATATGTAATAAATACCAACAATATTTGTGCAATCTAAGCATTAATTCTACACAGTAAAAATGTGTACAGCAAAGATTTCACAAGAGCAGAGAGACAATAAAAATTTTAAAGCTCTTAAAATAAGTATTACATAGCAATTAGAAGGACAAGAACAAATGATAGATGGAACATAATGAAGAGTCCATATATAAAGCTCAAGTTTAAGAATGTAGTGTGATGCAGGTGGCATTCCTAAATCCGAAGGCAAAAGCTATTATAGGAAAAACTGACATATTTGACTATAAGTTGTAAATATTTTGGAAATCATACTGGTCTGCCTATATTCCCCTGCAACTCTCTATATCAAAATGTCTTTTAGAAAACATCAATGGTCAAATTCTATTATCTGTAATTTTATATTCACACTGACCTTTGAAGTAGCAATTGGCGGAAGTTGCCACTCTGTGGGCTAATTGTCAGATGATGGGACAGGTAATTACACAGGCGAGCTCCCATGTAAGAGAAATTTGGGATAGACGTGGCCTTTTAAAAAGAAAAGTTTTGTATGACACAAATACATTATCATCAATGCAAACACTTAGCAATATTTTATGGAGGAAAACCATTTTGGCTACCAAAATTAACTATATACTATATGTTAAAAGGCTTTTGTTAGGCATAAGGAAAAATGAATCCTCTCACCTATCCTTACACTAAGAACTACAGTACAAAGAAAACTGTAAGGTGACCTCTTCGATTCCTCATTTACAATTAGAAAATGTCTCTTGATGTTAACTCATTTTTGCAGAAAATACAGATGTGTACATAGCTGCTTGGTAACAATTATGAATGACCAGAATAGCTGGCAAACTATTGATCAATGTTGCTTCTCAGGGTAATATAATACACACTTTGAGATCTAGCAGTCCACAACAAGACACCCAAATATTTTGCTTTGTGACCTTGGCTACTACTAAAACCTCCCTGGCTTCACTTGGACACACAAAAAGGTGATTAACAGTACCTGGCATAAAGATCCCAAAACACTTAAAAGGAAATCAAAGCAACTACTTAAAAATAAAAAAGTAAAAAGTAAAAATTCAGTGAGGAAATACTACATCTTGAAGAGCATGGAATGTAGTGAAAACAGCACTTAAGAAATCTGACTGCAACTGCAGATTTCAGAGAACAGCGGAGGACACAGTTTAGCACCTCATGGTAGACAGGAAAACACACCAAGTGATTAAGAAGCCTGACTAGGGTCACAGAGATCACCAAACCACCACAGATTCTAGCCCCTTCTGGATCAATTATTCAACAGATGAGTTAACTTTTTTGCTCAGGTGTGTATAAAGTGGACAGAGGAGTGACACTTTCGACCACTGAGCTACAGTAACTGTTTATAGAGAATCTTAGCATTATCAGAAACATAGCAAATGCTTTATAATTAGACCTTTTTATTTCTAGGGGTTTTTTTGCTCACATTTGATTCATTTTGAAAAGAAAATACACTGATTTCTCCTTATAAGATATATGCTTAACAAAAGAAACCCAAACTTTTGCTTTTCCCATTATTGGTGATGGATTTTAGCTTCTGTAGGTGGGATTTTTCAGTTTAAACACAATTTTCTACTTGTTTCTCTACATCAGAAAATGGGATTTTAGCTACCACTTGCTTTACCCAATCTTATCTCCCAATCTTTCCACCTACAACATGATCTTTTTTTTTCTTTTCTTTTCTGAGACAGGATATATTCTTTTGTTGAACTTTCCATGAGACTGCCCCACACCCAAGTTAGAGAGAAACAATTCAAGGTCCACTAGGAATGCAAACCTTAGCATTCAAGTGTAAACTAGAGATCCAGTTTTAGACTACCTGCCCTTTCTTGTTGGTCTTATGTGGCAGAATTAAGTTATACACTTGATGATTAAGACAACCTTACTATTTTTTTGGTTGTGAGCCTAGCCTTTAACGGCTGAGCTATCTCTCCAGCACTCGGAGGCAGAGGCAGGCGGATCCCTGTGAGTTCGAGACCAGCCTGGTCTACAAGAGCTAGTTCCAGGACAGCCTCCAAAGCCATAGAGAAACACTGTCTTGAAAAACAAAAGACAACCTTACTAATCTTGATACCTAAGAATGACATACCTCTTAGAAGCTGGAGTAATGCCTGTGGGTTCATTCTATGTAATGTATGCTCCTCTGTACATGTTAATAACTCCTTTGGGTATGGTAAAAAAGGAACCTTCTCAAATTTAAAATTGTTCTGAAGACAATTTTAAAAAATAAAGTTCTGGGGGGAAAAGACAGCATTGTCTAAAACAGTTTGACATGCCCAATATGTGACTGACAACAAAAGTTGAATGTTATATGACATAGAAATATCAACTGGCAAGTCTTTTAAGGACTTAAGATACCAATATTTAAGCCCTAAGAGTAGGCATGGTCAAATCCTACAGCCTAGAGGGCTGAGGCAGAATTACCATTAGTTCAAGGTCAGTTTGGGCTAGATAGTGAGTTCCAGGCCAGCCTGAAATACAGTGAAACCTTCTCAAAAGCATATGAACAAATACATGAAGACTTAATACTGGACTATTTTGTAGCCAGACTTAACTATTTCAGTGCTAGGGACTAAACTCAGGGCCCTGCACTGGCCTGGCCAATACTCTGCCACTGAACTCAATCCTTAACACCACTTTGGCTTTTCGGAGAATTCATTTGTGAGGCAAGAAATTTCTCTCTCAACTTTTTCTCACCTTCTCCAATAATCCTACAGAATTAAACAGAGGGGAGAAAACCCACAACTATTTTGTGAATATTAGTTTCAGATGCAACAAAATGGGGGTATATGGAGGGTAAGTGTGATTCTTGTGTAGATTTCCTTGTCAGAGCTGACACTCCCTTCTGTACTACTGTTTGTGTGTACAGAGCCCTGGCTAAGCCATAAACACTGCTTCTACAGAGTAGCGACTATGTGGGTCAACTGACAGTGTAGCCTGGCTCTAGCCTTGGATCTCTAAATACATGATTTTTATCCAAGACAATACTTCAAAAGCTCCTATTAACCACAATGCATCAACAAGTACAGGAGCGTGGCCTCCTTCAAAGAATAGTCATCATCTATGGGCTCCAGGGAAACTAACAGGTCACCTCTGGCTACAAGCCTGCCTACCTGCTGGTAGATGAGTTCCACAAGCTCTTGCAAAGCATCGTCTGTTGTGACCCATCCATTCAGGGTTTCTGCAAACTGTTCAATTTCTGTTTCAAAACTGCCAGGCTGCTCTGTGAGATGATTCAGGAAATCCTGAACATATTCTGGTAGAGTGGGATAATCCTCACAAACATCCTCATAGGATTCCTATAGTTCAAAATAAAAACAAAACAAATGAAAACAGAATAAAACAATTCAACTCATATAACTAGCAAAACAAGCATGCAGTGGCTTTAAGTTGGGGTGTTTCTAGCAATGATTTTGTTTAGGGATCTCACATAACTTTAAAGAGCATAACAAAATGTAAGTGCACTCATATAGCTAATCCTCTTCCTTGCATACCTCATGTGTTTTAACATAAGGAATGCCATTAAGACAAAGAATTGTCTTTTTAATCCCTAGCAGACTTATATTATGGCAGAGAAATAAAGTTTAAAGTAACTTCACTATAATAAACAATATAAAAAATCTAGTTACAGATGAAATAAGACCTAGTTACTAATTTTTTGCATTAAAGGGGGCTGGAATGATAGCTCAGCAGTTAAGAACACTGGTTGCTCTTCCAGAGGACCCAGGTTCAATTCCCAGTACCCACATGGCAGCTCACAACCGTCTGTAACTCTAGTTACAGGGCTTGACACCTCACGAAGACATACATGCTGGCAAAACACCAGTAAACATAAAATAAATTTAAAAACAAACAAACAAACAACCACAACAAAAAACTATAGGGAAAGGATAGCCCAAACATACAAAAACCAGAATTGCCAGCCCAGCAACATTCACTATACTGTACTCTACCCTACTATTCTGTATATCCTTGTAGATGTTTGACAACATCTGTATTGAAGAGAAAGAAAGAAAGAAAAAAAAACCAATCTGGATAGTAGCAATAGTTTTAAGATCCTTCTTGTTCGTAACAAAACTGTGCTGTTTTCAGGGATTTTGCTTTTTATTTATTTATTTATTTTTTTAAATGGAGTGTGCTGGATGTCTCTACAATTTTGTTTAAATGACTGCAGAACCTGGAAAAGCTGTTGCTGCTATTGATGCATAACATACTGCTATTATTGGTCTTTTTATATAAATAAACACACACACACACACACACACACACACACACATATACATATATAATTTGAATTTTTGGAAACTTTAGCTGTGCTGTCAACGTTGGAAAAAAGTATCCCAGTTTACCGTGTTGAGTTGGCATAGTACAGAAATTAACAGCCATATTGGTCTAGAAATGTTGAACTTAATTTTTTTCCATTTGTACAGGGGTAACTTACTGTATTAAATATGTAAGGTCTTATCTATGTGGGTTCAATTACAATAACTAATAAAGTACTCTGTAAATAAATAAAAAAAAATCCTTCTTGCTCTCATTACATGGAATACTACCCAAAGCATGTTAAAGTTTATCTGTTATGTTCAAATACATACACCACTTGAGATTTTATCCTTCTGCAAATAAATTCAAATTGGAAATCATATGAAAAACTAATGAACAAAATAGAGAAGCAACTTATGAAGAGCTTTAAGTTCTAGAGTCAGTGAATACAAAAACAAAACAAAAGAACACATAAGGGCAGTTTTTTTTTTTTTTCCTGTGATGGATATATTCTTTCTGTAAGACTGTCTTGCATCCTTTGAAGGCACACACCAATAACCCCAGCACTGGACACTGAGGGTGATGGTCAGCAGTTCATGTTGAGTACCTACTAAGTGCCAAACTGTGCAGGTACTGAGAGTACTTCCACAAATAAAGCAGACAAAGTTCTCTTCTCATAATCCCATGATGCAAGGTACATTCAGATGTTGAAACAACTATGGGAAGCAAGGCCAGACAAGAGTCTCGAGGGTTAATATCTGGGGCTGTGTGGACTAATGCTTAGTGGCTAACACATTTGTTGTATTTGCAGAGGATGTGGGCTTGGTTCCCATCACCTACATGGTGGCTCACAACCACCTGTTAACTCCTGTTCTATGGGATCCAATGCCTTCTGACCTGTGCAGGCACCAGGCATGCATATGGTCCCCACACATTACCTGTAGGTAGAACACTCATACACATAAAACAAATCTAAAAAAAAAAAAAAAAACTGAAGTAGGAGTTAACATCTGAACTGACAGAAAATGCAAACAAACAACAAAATCATTCCTTCCCAACCCCTAAAAAAATCTGTGGGACAGTATTCTATGCCCTAGGTATAAACAGCACGCTGGTTCTAAAGAGGGAGGGACTGGACCTAATACCTTTGAGGAAAAAAAGTCAATAGCTAAAATAGAAAACTGAGGAAGGGATGATGGCTATTAAGAGTCAGTTAGGGAGATAGATCATGTACAACTGGGGGGCGGGGTGCACACTAAGGAGGCTAATTCTAAATGCAGTGCTGGGGACAAGAAGTGTTCATATAAGGAAGAACTGCACACAATTTGAATAACTTGTATACGGTCACAAAGCTAATGGGCTTTCATATAGCCATTTAAGAAAACACAACAGAATATATATATGTGTGTATGTGTGATATATAATTCATTATAGGATATATATGTCCATCCTTCCAGAAATAGTTCCAAGATAATTAAATAAAAAAATAAAAATAAATAAATAAAAAAAGGATACATAACCCCCTCACACGCCCTCCCTTTTTTAAAAGAAAGGGACTTATTAGTACAGACCTAACATTTCTGCAACGCCAAACAACTGACAACACATTTGGACTGAAAAAATGTTCTTGTTACAAACATTGCTACTTTGTTAGAAAGTTGTGAAAACAGTTAAGCATTAAAAACATACACATTAATATATTTAACTATATCTGTGAATTTCAGAATTAAAAAGGTTTTGGTATATATGGTTAGTTTTATAGACTTAAAGAATTCTAACTTACTAATAAAATGACAAGGAGAATTCTGAAGGCATCAGGTGAAGCTACAAATTTCCCACCAAGTGTCATTCACTGTGACAACAGAACCCTCAAAATAGACCTCAAGTCTGGTAAGTAGAAGCAGAGTTGATGAGAGGCTCAGTGGTTAAGAGTGATGACTGCTCTTCTGGAGGACACTGGTTCAATTCCCCACCCACATGGCAGCTCACAACTGCCTGTAATTCCAGTTCCAGGGTCTGATACCCTCATACTGCCATATACACAGGCAAAACACCAATGCCCATTAAAAAAAAAAAAAAAAAAAAAAAGGGTGAGCTGCTCTGAATACAGAACAGAGAAGAGCCCTCAGGCCCACCACCTTCACGGTATTCTGAACAGAGAGGCAGCACACCATGTTTGAGTCAAAGTCTGCATCACTTCGCCAGCATTAGATTTTTTTCAAAGAATTTATATGTCTTCAACTGAAGAATATCTTTTCAAGCTTTATTTTTTTATTTTTCTTAGAATTCTACAGAGAGAGATAAACCTTTCATGAAAGTATTTACTATGGGCTGTTAGGAGAACCAAATCGCAGTCAGTGGGGAGAGGAACCTGACCAGACAATTGTGAAAGGATTAAGACTACGTAGGTTAGCTGGACTTATTCGTGAAAAGCATGGAGAAGTGAGTCAACACTAAGTTTCTGCCATAACCTTGTTTGAAAAAAGGATCTAGAAAAGATAATTGTTTCACACTTAAGTTTAAATGTGAGGTCCTCATGAAGACCTAAAAGAAGTGGAGACACAAAGCCTAGAGTTCACAAAAGGGGTAATAAAATGGAAAAACACAGAATCTGAGGGACTATGACCTGAGGAGGATGATGATGATGGAGTAACATGAACTCAGAAACAAAAGGAGAGCTAACTAAGTGAGAATTCATAGGTTAAAATCTGAAACAATGTTGGTTACAGTCTTCTTAGAAGTAAAGGAGATTATACACAAAGACTACAAAAGGTAACTTTGACATCTACCACAGGACATATCATACTGGAACTTTGTGTGTGTGTTTTCTTTTGATTTTTATTTTTTTACATACCAATTCCAATTCTCCACCCATCTCACTCCCCCATTTGCTCCTCAGAGAGGGTAAGGCCTTCCAAGGGGAGTCAATGAATTCTGTTCCATTGAGGCAGGACTGCCCCCCCCCCCATTGTCTAGGCTGAGCAAGGTATCTCTCCATAGGCAAGGAGCTCCAAAAAGCCAATTCATTCATTAGGGACAGCACTGGTCCCACTGCACACTGGAACTGAACACATTTTTATATTGTGTTCAGGGCCTAGGAGGCAGTTTAAAAAGATTACATATTTAAAAATCAGAGACCATTTACAGTCATAAAAATAGTATCGATGCATCTAGGGGATCAAACTGCAGAGATTTGCATTTAGTGAGCTTCAAGTAGTACCAATGATGATAAATTTTTACTACTGAAAACAAGAGAGGAAAAAGGCATCTTAAGTAGTAACTTAAGATGCTTTTAAGGAAAAAAAGCTTTCTTGCTGGTGACACACAAACATTTTTTACCTTTTAAGAAAGGCTTTATGAGTTCCTACATAGAACTTCTTTCTTCTAGTAAGTAAACTATGATTAAATATAATAGCTGTATTAGTTTGAGAAGTGACCAGGAACAGATGGATACTGTAACTTGCTAAAACAGCATGAAAAGAAGAAATTCTAGCAGTTGGACTAGAGGGGAGACTGAAGACAAAGAGCACAGGGTTTTACCACAGGTTCGTTTCTTTGTGTGTGCACGTGTGCATATGTCTGTGGGTGACAACCTTTGGGAATTGGTTCTCTCCATCATGTGGGTCCCAGGAACCGAATTTAGATCATCTGCTTAGCAGCAAGTGCCTTTACCTTCCTGGGCCATCTCATTGACCTAAGTATGTATAAAAGAGCAGATTCCAGAGATTCTGGAAACAGAAAGAAGACTACTAGAAAGAGCTCTATATAGACAGTTTTCTCCACTTGGTACAACATGACCAATGCCTGACCTGCAAGTATTGAACTGTTTGTGGAATGAGTGAATCTAGCTAACTTTGGATCATGGCTATTATCAGGAAAGTTTCCCTCATAGGAGCTTACCTGAAGAGTTGGGACAAATGAGGACTCTCCTGTCCTGTAACTAAATGGACTGAAAAACATTTACCTGGACTACAAGTAAACATTAGTGTAATTGAGGAAGGTTGAGAAAATACTAGGACAAGGTAGCAAGCCCAAGTATCCATGAAATCCAGAATTACTACAAAGGAAGCTAGCCAGGGAAGAAACTGTTAATTATGCTGTCATTATGCTTCAACCAATTTTGCTTTTAGAATTCTAGTCCACTATGGCTATTTATTATGATCTGAACAGAAACCAGTACAAATAAACTTTTCAATATCCTACTTAAATGCTGACAACTAAAAACAATCTTTGAAATAAAAGATTAGATATCAAGAGCTAAAGAAGCTTCTGTTCATCATTTGTTTTGGTATACTGAACAGAGAAGCTGTACTAACAGACACCAAAGAATTCCTACAAGAAAAGACTGATTCTAAGTAAGTGGTGGTGGTGGAGCAGAGAACATCATCTCAGTGGTTAAGAGTATTGCCTACTCTTCCAGAGGACCCAGGTTCAAGTCCCAACATCCACATGAAGGGTCAACAGCTACCTGTAACTCCAGTTCCAGAGGACTCAACAACTTCACATAGGCATTCAAGCAGGCCAAACATCAATGCACATAATAAAAACAAATCATTCAAAAAAGAAACAAAGAAAAATGAGCATGTACCACTCCTACAGAAGACCTTGTTCCTTTCCTAGCATCCACATGGGCCACTCATAAGCGTCATGTGAATCCAGTTCTAGAGAGATCTGGCCTCTGGCCTGCTCAGAAAAAAAACAAACTCACCTGCACATACCCACAGGTCATCTGAACTGTATTCAGGACTTTGGGGAAAAAAAAACCAACAAAATTATTTCTCCCATCATAAAATAAATAGTCCATGTCAACAGGAAGTTAAATAAACAAATGGTTAACCATTTTTGGCAGCTAAAAAAAGTAAACATTTTAATTTTTCCTTTTACAATTTATTTTTATGTATATTGGTATTTTTGCCTGCATGTATGTCTATGTGAGGGCACCATATCCCCTGGAACTGGAGTTACAGATAGTTGTGAGCTTCCATGTAGGTGCTGGGAATTGAACCTTGGTCCTCTAGAAGAGCAGCCAGTGCTCCTAACCCCTACGCCATCTCCTCACCCCCCAAAGTAAACATTTAAGAGTTGAATTAGTCACCCGGTGATGATGGCACATGCGTTTAATTCCAGGACTCAGGAGGCAGAGGCAGGCAGATCTCTGTGAGTTCCAAGGCCAGCCTGGTCTACAGAACGAGTTCCAGGACAGGCTCCAAAGAGTTGAATTATTCAACTACTCACAGCTCTTCAATGGTTCCTTCCCTCTCTGAGCCAAATACACCTTTTTGGCAAGCTACTCTTAATTTTTATTTTTCATAACAAATGGCTCTTTTCACCAAATCAGCTGTTCTTCCTGCCATAGTCATACTCCCTCCTTCTAGTCCCAGAGCATTTTTCTAAAATATTCATGGAGTTTCTATTTCCACAAAGTGCAGATTCTCCATGGGTCAAACAGAAGAGAACCAAATACAGATTACAAAAGGCATGCGATCATTAATTCAAAGAAAAACAGAAACTGAAACCATACCTAGCTATAGCATACCTATCAGGTTGGCTAAACAGAAAATACCATATGCTGACTAGGCAGGACAACAAGTAGCAACCAAACCCTGAATGAAGAATGCACAGTGGAATGATCTCATTAGAGAAGACAGCTACTTCTACTAAGGCTGGCTACAGAAATTCTACTTTTACATATTAAGCAGAAATAAAAGCGCATATGTCAATCAGGAAATGGACAGAGATAATAATCTTATTCCCAATAGCCCCCAAGTAGAAGCTATCCATTCATCAATGGACAAATGGAACCTTGATACAGTCAAGTGATGTGAATACATTACCTTAAATTATATGTTACAATATGAATAGATATACTTAGAGCAGCAATCTAGTCTATTGACCTTCATTTATGTAAGCTTTGAAAAATGACTCTAACATGCCAGCACAAGAGGCTGTGAGGCAGGAGGGTATCAAGTTCAAGGACAATTAGGAATACACTTCAAAACTATCTAAAACAAAACCAAAACAAAACAGAGCCCCTGTGGCTACACCTGGGCATGAGGCATAATTCCAAGGGGATAAACAGGGCTTAGAGGATGTGGACACGTTCCTCTTTGGCTGTGATGCTAGCTGTCTGAGTGTTAACTCTGAGCTGAGTTCATACTGTTTTCATTCAATAATTAAGTGAGGCCTCATGTTAAGGTATACCAGTCATCTTTTCAATTCACCACTATTATTCCTAAAGTTAATCTCTATTCATTGACTCATTTGGGTTTAACACGAACAGCAAATTTCTTCCTATATATTCCAACCATGCTTTGTGCTTCCTCTTAAGAAAACAATTAAAATTTGCTACATTATTGACAGAGATAAAAAAAAAAGCATGAGAAGTTCTTTATACCTATGTATACTTTACTAAAATTGCTTACATACAATGCATGGTGAAATATACCTGTTAATTCCAGACTTGGGAGGCTGAGGCAGCAACACTGCCTTGCTTGCCTCAAAATCAAAACAAAACAAAACAAAAAATCAAGACAAAAAAAAAAAAAAAAAAAAAAAAAAAAAAAAAAAAAAAAACAATCACTAAAAACTTTCACAATGTTTCTGCATACAACACATAACCAGCACTATTAATATTATTTTAACATAATGGATGAATTCCTCTAGAAAGAGAGCCCTGATATGCATTTCTCAACATTCATGGAACTACCTATTTGCATAAAAATGGCCACCAAAGAATATTCTGCAATCTGGCTAAAATCAAATTAAAGGAAGCTTTCCTGGCCACTCACTGTACAGGCCGTCCATAAAGTTCAGAAGTAGATTTTAGCTTCACGAATTGAAGATAGCCTTGACATCTTTTCTAAGTACTAGGAACACAACAATGAAACAAGCAGACAAGAATTCCTTGTCTTACAAGCTTACACTTAACACCTTGAAAAGAACTACAAATTATATTCCGGAATCCGTGACTTCAATGAATGGCTATTTCTGTGTGCAATACAGAAAGCAGCCAGCATACCGTAGTGAAAGACTTAACCACATTATTCCTAATAGTATTAACACAGAGTTGCAGGAGGTAAAAAAAAATGTACTCACGGTATAATTAGAATAACCTGATGGGTAAAATTCGGGGGCGTTCGCAGACAGCTTAGACATTAGCACAGGAGCCACAACCACCTGGGGCTTAGCCATTGCTGACTCCGAGTTCTGCTGTGGGATTTTATCCTGTGAACTAGGTGGAGCTCTCTGGGGCCTCGTTTGTTCTGAGAAAGAAAAAAAAAAAAGAGTGCTAGATGTATTCATTCCTTTGTATAAAACAACTTAACTACATACTGAGAAACCGTCTGAGAACTTCCGGATTTTAGGAGTTAAATACAAAATGTAAGATGGTTAACAGTCATACAAAGAGCTTGCAAAAAGGGAACAATAGCCTTGCTTTGGCTCACCAATGCACATACCTGCCTCCAAAACGAACGTTCCAGGGCTTTTCCCACCCCTTCCCTCTCTCTCTCTCAAGGAGTTGGGTTAAGAAGTGGATGCTCGTCTGGGGCCCGGGTTCACCACGGAGAGGGAGGGGATTCTGACTTCCTCCCTGGACGCCAGACCTCGCACCGGGCCTCGGCCCCTCCCCCAGCCGGAGCGCACAAAGGATTCCAGCCACCACCTCCTTCCAAACCCAGTTCCTACCCCGTGCCGAGCGGGCCCCTCGGGGAATGCTTTCGGGGAACCGGGGGGCGGGTTCGGCGCGCCAGGGTTCGGCGTGCGCGAAGGGCCGCGGGGGAAGGCTGGCCCAGGGGCACCGG